GATGAAATAAAACAAATTGAAAAAAAAGAGAGAAAAAATAAAAACAGTATTTGGTGGGTTTCATTATGCCATTTTCATACACACACACACACACACACACACACACACACACACACACACACTGTGCTCCCATGTTTGCTGCCCTGCACACTCTCCTCTCCTCTCCTCCTCCACCCCCTCCTGATCTCCTCCACCACACAGTCCCTTTTTATGCTCATGTTCCATTATTATTATCTTCATTTTAGGTCTAGATTGCACATATGAGTGAAAACATGTGATATTTGGCTTTTTGAGTTTGGTTTATCTCACAAAATGATGATATCCAGTTCCATCCATTTTTCTGCTAATGACAATTTCTTTCTTCTTTACGACTGACTACTACTCCATTGTGTATATACAACACATTTTCTTTGTCCATCCATTGGTTGTTAGGCACTAAAGGCTGATTCCATAGCTTGGCAATTGTGAATAGTGCCGCAATAAACATGGGTGTGTAGGTGTTTCTATTGCATGTTGACTTATATTCCTTTAAATAAATGCCCAGGAGTGGTATAGCAGGGTCATAGGTAATTTTCTATTTTTTAGTCTTTTGAGGAACCCCCATATTGATTTCCACAGTGGTTGCACCAATTTACATTTCCACCAACAATGTATAAGGGTCCCCCCACCCCCCGCCCACTGCATCCTTACAGCATTTGCTGTTGTGTGTTCTTTTTTTTTCTTTTATTTATATGTGCATACAATGTTTGGGTCATTTCTCCCCCCTTCCCCCTGCCCACTCCCTCCCCGCCCCCCGCTCCCCCCCCTCTCCTCCCCACCCCCTCACTACCAGGCAGAAACTATTTTGCCCTTATCTCTAATTTTGTCGAAGAGAGACTATAAGCAATAATAGGAAGGAACAAGGGTTTTTGGTAGTTGAGATAAGGATAGCTATCCAGGGAGTTGACTCACATTAATTTCCTGTGCATGTGTATTACCTTCTAAGTTAATTCTTCTCGAACTAATCTTTTCTCTAGTTCCTGGTCCTCTTCTCCTATTGGCCTCAGTTGCTTTAAAGTATCTGCATTAGTTTCTCTGTGTTGAGGGCAACAAATGCTATCTAGTTTTTTGGGTGTTTTACCTATCCTCATACCTTCCTTGTGTGTTCTCGCTTTATCATGTGATCAAAGTCCAATCCCCTTGTTGTGTTTGCCCTTGATCTAATGTCCACATATGAGGGAGAACATATGATTTTGGTCTTCTGAGCCTGGCTAACCTCACTCAGAATGATGTTCTCCAATTGCATCCATTTACCAGCGAATGATAACATTTCGTTCTTCTTCACGGCTGCATAAAATTCCATTGTGTATGGATACCACATTTTCTTAATCCATTCGTCAGTAGTGGGGCACCTTGGCTGTTTCCATAACTTGGCTATTGTGAATAGTGCTGCAATAAACATGGGTGTGCAGGTGCCTCTGGAGTAACCTGTGTCACATTCTTTTGGGTATATCCCCAAGAGTGATATTGCTGGATCATATGGTAGATCAATGTTTAGATTTTTAAGTAGCTTCCAAATTTTTTTCCAGAGTGGTTGTACTAGTTTACATTCCCACCAGCAGTTTAAGAGGGTTCCTTCCCACCCCCACATCCTCGCCAACACCTGTTGTTGGTGGTGTTGCTAATGATGGCTATTTTAACAAGGGTGAGGTGGAATCTTAGTGTGGTTTTAATTTGCATTTCCTATTGTGTGTTCTTGATGACAGCCATTCTGACTGGGGCAAGATGGAATCTCATGGTCATTTTCATTAGCATTTCCTTTATAGCTAAGGAAGTTGAACATTTCTTCATGTAGTTACCGGCCACTGTATTTTTTATTGGGAGAACTATCTGTTCAACTAATTTTCCCCTTCATTAATTGAATCATTTGTTCTTTTGGTGTTTAATATTTGAGCTCTTATATATTTTGGATATTAACCCTTTGTCCAGTGAATAGCTGGCAAAGACTTTCTCCCATTCTGCAGGATGTCTCTTCATTTTGGCTATTGTTTCCTTTGATGTGCAAAAACTTTTTAATTTGATGCAGTTCATTTGATAATTCTGCTCTTATTTCCTGGACAACTGGAAAACAGTTGCCCATGCCTCTGGGCAACTTTTGGGCCTCTTCAAGTGTTTTTCCCTAGCAGTTTCAAAGTTTCTTGTCTTACATTCAGTTTTTTGATACATTTTGAATTGATTTTTGTACAGAGTGAGAGACAGAAGTTTAGTTTTAGTCTCTGACGTGTGGACATCCAGTTTTTCCAACATCATTTGATGAAGAGGCTGTTTTTCTCCAATGTATGTTCCTTTGTCAAATATCAGATGGCTATAGTTGTGAGGGTTTAATTTTGGCTCTTCTATTCTATGTGTCTGTTTTTGTGCCAGTACCATGCTGTTTTTGTTGCTATGACTCTGTAGTATAGTTTGAAGTCAGATATTATGATAGCTCTAGCATTGCTGTTTTTGTTCAGGATTGCTATCTGGGGTCTTTTATGCTTCCATATGAATTTTAAAATTGATTTTTCTATTTCTATGAAGAATGACCTTGGAATTTTTATGGGAATTGCACTGAAATTTCAGACTGCTTCCAGTAGCATAGCCATTTTCACAATATTAATTCTGTCAAACCATGAACATGGAAGGTCTTTCCATCTTCGTAGTGTCTTCTTCAATTTCTTCAGTATTTTATAGTTTTCATTGTAGAGGTCTTTCACCTTCTTAGGTAAGTTTATTCCTAGTTTTTATTTTTTTGAGGCTATTGTGAATGGGGTTTTTTTCTTGGTTTCTTTCCAGTTTATTCATTGTTAATACATAAAAAGCAACAGATTTTTATATGTTGATTTTGTATCCTGGTACTTTGCTGAAAGTGTTTATCAGCTCTAGGAGTTTTTTGGTAGAGTATTAAGGGTCATTTAAGTATTGGATCATATCATCTGCAAATAGGGGCAATTTGACTTCTTCCTTTCCTATTTGTATCCTTTTTATTTACTTATGTTGTCATATTGTTCTGGCAATAAGCACTATATTGAATAAGAGTAGAGAGAGTAGACACTCTTGTCTCATTCCTAACTTTAGAGAAAAGGGTTTCAGTACTTCCCCATTTAGTATATTGGCTATAGTTTTTTATAGAATTTTTATCTTGAACAGATGTCAAAATTTGTCAAAGGCCTTTTCTGCATCTATTGAGATGATTATGTGGTTTTTTGTTGAAATAGTTTGAGGAGCACTGGTGTTCGTTCTTCTTTAAAGGCCTGGTGGGATTTGGCAGTGAATCCGTCTGGTCCAAGGCTTTAATTTTATTGCTTGTTATAGACCTGTTTAAGTCATTTATGTCCTCTTGGTTCAATTTTATCATATACATTTAGAGCATTATCCACTTCTCTTAGAATTTCCAGTTTGTTAGAACATAAGTTTTTGAAGTATTTGATAATTATTCTCTGAATTTCATTGGAATGTGTTTTGATATCCTCCTTTTCATCTCAAATTTATTAATTTGGGTCTTTTCCCTACTTCTTTTGGTAAGTTTGGCTAAGGGTTTATCAATTTTTTTTTATCTTTTTGTTTCATTGATTTTGGGGGGGCATTACAGGGGTTTGAACTCAGGGCCTTGCGCTTTCTAGGCAGGCACTTTACCACTTGAACTATACCCTCCAATTCTCTTTGTTTCAGTTATTTTTCAGATACACCTTGCATTTTTGCACTGGGTGGCCTTGGACAGCGATCCTTTTACCTATGCCACCTGCCTAGTTAGGATCACAGGCTTGTTACCAGTATGCTCAGCTTATTTTGTTGAGATGGGGTCTCACTAACTTTTTGCCCAGGCTGGTTTTGAAACATGACTCTCCTGATCTCTTCCTCCCAAGTTACTAGAATTATAGATAGGAGCTACTGCACCCTGCCTAAATATAAATTTGCTAATATTTAAATTAGAAATTGTTTAAGATTCCATAAGAAGTTGCAAAAATAGTACAGAGACTTCCTGTATACTTCTCAGCCACCTTTTCGTAGTGATAGTGTCTTATATAACCATAGCACATGGGATAGCTGACATTTGAAAGGCTCATTCATAGCTATGGGGTGTTTCAGTTTATCAAGTCTCTAAGCTTTCCTCCTGAATATAAGTCACCAGAAAACAAAAATACTTAAACCACACTGGCTTACTTTTCATAGGCATGGTTTACATTTTTGCTTTTGATTGATTGTCCAGATAAGTAGATATCAGGGTATATTCTTTTATTGCCTGAAAGCCTGTAGAGACTGTCCACTGTCATTCAGTATTCCTTTCGTAAAGATTCATGTGATAAGTTTCTTGTAGAATTTAGTGCCAGGAGAAAGTTGTTTCTCTGGGGGGCGGGGGGCGGGAACCCTTCCTTTTGCCATACAATGAGAACTATGTACACTATCCCATTTCTTTATTTCCTTTTTTGCCTTGGCTGTCAGAAACTCAGATGCACTTGAAGATATAATTGTAGTAACTAACTCATTGAACATTTCTTATGTAATTTCCCCCCTCCCTTTAAATAGTTTCTCATCTCTTTGTCTTCATTTTAATTGTACAGGTCCACAATCCCTTACTTCATAATTTTAAAATGCAAAAAGATTTAAAAATAGAATGCTTTTTTAAATTCATGAAGCTTACTGTGAATATTCATATGTCACTGCTGAATACTAATGTGTTTGATTTCAGGGCACTGCCCCAGCCCTTCTGGGGATGTTACATAATAGATAGAATGCTCTTTCCAAAATCTGAGGTTCTGAATTCTGAATTGTAGCTAACCCTAAGGATTTAAGGCAGGGGACTGTGGACCTGTGAGTGTCTGAATATGGGAAGGTCCTCACAAATCTTTTGGAGAGCAGACACATGGCATAGAGAGGCTCCCAAAAGGCCATGGACAGATATGACCTGACACATGAGGAAGCCAAAGCCTGTCCATTGGTTCTTAGATCCCAGTGCCCATCTCCCTGGCCACCACTGACATTACCTGTCTCTGGGGCTTCTTGTGGTCGGATTTTCTTGGACAGTTTCAGAGCTGACTCAAGGTCATAGACTTGAGAGCGGGTAAACTTCAGTTCTCTGCGGAGCTCATTAATTTCCTTGATCAGAGAGACATTTTCCTTCAGGAAAAAAAAGGAAAGAGAGTGAGTATGGCTGGATGAGTGATCGCTGGACACAGGACATGACCTCCCAGGGTTGAGGAGATGGGAAAGGGCTGAGCTGAGTCTGGATAACTCTCTGGAGCCTCCACTGGGCACAGTCTTTACCCTGATCATTACTCAGTCTCTCAGGGTGCCAACTCACCTTCAGAGGGACTCAGCACCGTTCCCATCCACCCAAGGTGTTTTTTTTTCTTTTTCTTTTTTTCTGTGATGGTACTAGGGATTGAATCCAAGGCTTCACACTTGCTAGATAAGCTTTCTACCACTTGAGATACACCTCCAGTCCCTCCTTTAAAAAAATATTTTTGGGATATGTTCTCATTAATTTTGCCCAGGTTGGCCTTAAACTCTTGATCCTCCTGTTTCTACCTCCCATGTAACTGGGATTACAGATGTGTACCAACGCACTTGGCTTTTTCAAACATCATCTATGCTTTTTCAAACATTAATAACAATGCTTTCTTAAGCACTTTCAATATGACTTTAATGTATTTAAGCATCATAGTACCCCTATGGCTAGCCAATTACAATCACTTTTTTTGAAGTTAGAAATAGAACTCAGAGCCTCGTGTATACTAAGTGCATGTTCTACCTCTGAACTATGCCCCCAGGCCCTACAATCACAGTTTTACAGGAGAGGAAACCGAGGAACAGAACCAGGATTTTAGCCCCAACAGTTTGAGAGCTCTTAAATACTCTGTTGCCCTTTATTCATTTTTTTCATTCATTCATTGAACCTACATTTATAGGGTATCCACTGAGTGCCTGGGATGCAGACAGAAATAAGACATGGTTCCTATGCTCCGCACTATGCTATCTAGTGAGCAACACAGAAAAGTAAATAGATAACTAATATCTGCTACATCTATTGAAAATCCATTTCTCCTTTGTGTTTGACAACTTTCCATCCATCCTATAAATAGGTACTGAGTATGCATCATATGCCATCCACTATCCTGGGTTATCTAGATCCTGGGTTATCTAGAAAGTGAGATCTGGCCCCTGCCCTTGAGTTTACAGTTTAGTAGGCATATGGGTACACATTAGCATGATGCAACCTTGCTGAGATGGAGGAGTGGGGCCCTGAGGAAAGGCACTTAACCCTGCCTGAATGACAGGTGGATTCCCAGGAACTGACTCCAGGGCTGAAGCTTAAAGGAATTACCAAGTGGAGGGCAAAGAGTGTCCCGACAATTGGAACAAAAGGAGCCAGGCACAGAAGTATGACACAGCTGGTGTCGGGGGAGACCTACAGCAGTTCTGCATCACTAGAATGCAAGGGGAGAAGAGGGGAGTAGAGAGGAGCAGGAATGAAGTTTGCTGGAGGCGATTTGCTAGGGTGCAGCACACTTGGACCTAGCAGTCTCCTGTCTCCTTTTCCCACACTTCTAATCTTTGCCTTCTATTTCACACTTGGCACCAGGGAGGATTCTCCATTCCTATGGGCCCAGATTGACTGGCCACTGGTCCTAGAGCCCACAGTCTCAATATTTAGCTGTCTACCATGAACTCTTCCATATGGCTGCAAATAAACCAACCATGCATCTTGTTAAATGAAGCTATGGACTCAGTAGGTCTTGAGTGAGCACTGAGATTCTGCATTTCTAACCAGTTCCCAAGGGAGGCTGCTGCTGCTTGTCTGCAGGTCAAATCTACCTAAGATGGACCTGCTTCAAGAACAAACTGGGTCTCTATTTGGGGTGTTATCTCAGGAGTAGTTTGAGACTGGATGATCTCAAGCACTGTTCTTACTGAGCTCTGATAGCCCTTCTCTGCTATGAGGATGTACCTATATGTTCAGAAGAAGTAGGGGCTGTTGGGGACACCCCAAAGATTCTTTCCCTCCAGAGACTCTTCATCTAAGCACAGATCTAGAGCTTTAGCAATTCATTATATCACTTAATTTCAGGATTCCTCACTTTAAAAAACTCCTGTCCTGGATGAGATGCCCAATGCTCACTGCCCATCTCTGGTTCTCCAGGCTAGGATCTGTGCCTGTTTTTCAATGAGGAGTAGGTTTTTTCCATCAAATGCTTTACCCTTTAACCACTGTAGGACTTGATGACGAGTCACCCACATTTCTAGATGACATCCAGTAAAATTCTCTGCTAGTCTCCTCCCCTGGAACTTCCTCAGGCCAATTTTACACATGAAATGATACGTTTGATACATACTTATTGGGTGCTAAGACCTTGGGCTCTGCCTTGCATGTAAGAGGTGCTCAATTAATACTTGTAGGATGGATAAGCAAATGAACAACAGGTTGAAATAAGATGAGAGTCTTACTAATAGGAACATTACAAACAAGGGGTAAGGGCAAATAGAGGAGACCAGAACTGAAGGGAGGGTTTTAGGAGAGCCACAAGGAATGGGCACACCTGCTGCTTTGGGAATTTTCTGTGCTTGGTCTTAGTTGGCTTTGCTTAGCTTCACTTCTTCTGCCTCATACAATAAAGAACAATAATCAGAAGGAAGACTAGAAAAGGAAAGTACCATTTTTGAGTCCTCTCATCTTTGGTTACTTCCTCTTTTTGGTCACCTCCATCCATTTTGTCACTGAATCCTATTGATCTTGTGTCTGAGCTTGATCTGTGTTCATACTTTGCTGTGACATGTAAGAAGCTCTCAGCCTCTTTCCCCTCTACTATTGTAATGGTCCTAGTTTCCTCCCACCCTTTCTACCAGCTACAATCCTGTGATTGGGATTTCTGGCTCCAGGTACCTTTTGGTGTGAATGCCTGTTTCTTTGTATTTATTTATTTACTTATTGTGTGTGTGTGTGTGTGTGTGTGTGTGTGTGTGTGTGTGTGTGTGAGTGTATGTGTGTGTATTTTCGAATGACTGTTTCTTACCCTATTGCCAGCTTTTGACACCTCCATGATGGCCCATTACCCAAAATGGGTCCCCAGGGCATGACTGGATCCTTATTAGAGTAGGATTGAGTCCATGACTCAATGTAACCCAACTACTTTCTTCTGTTTGTTCATTCATTCATTCATCTGCCAACCTCCCCACACCAGTAACCTATGAACAGTTTCTAAAAGCTTACTATGCACTGGTTCTTGTGCTAGACACAGGAGGTTCCTCTTGGCTCTAATGCAGAAAGATGTTAAGAGAACCAGAAGCAGGGGACCAACCCAGTATGAAGCAGACTTCCAGGGGAGGCAGAGGATAGAGAAGATTGTCTAAGCCTGAAGCCAAGAGGGAACAAGCAGAATGTAAGACACTATAAGCCTGATGATAAAAATAATAACTGCAAGTGTTGGCTGGATCCCAGCAATGTAGCAAACATTTCACATAAATCACCTCATTCATAACTTATGGGTAGGTATTGTCAGAATCATTTTGTATAAGGAAACAAGGTGTATAAATGGTAGAACTCTGTTTTGAGGTAGAGCTGTGTCTACCTCAAGGGTGCCCTGTTCCACCATGACCATTGCCTTCCATACTTGACTTTCTCACCTCCCATTTATATCACCTCTCTTCCAATACCTTACGTAGTATGATGGCCAAGAACAGCCCCCAATAAGTATAAGCTGAGCTCCACAAAAAATGTTTTCCAGGGTGGCCTATGTACTGAGGCATCCAGAGGTCATATTGGGGTCAACCATATGTGCCTTTGTGAATTAAAAGTGTGAACTCAACAGCCTTGCTGACCCTTCTCTTCCTTTTTTCCCCCAGTCAGGATGGCCTATAAAAGCCCCTTCAATGCTCCAGACCCCCACCCAGCTACTCAGCTGCAGGGAGACTCTGACCTGGGGTTTATCAAGTAGCAAGTCTGAAGAATTTGAGAGACTGACTGGGGGATACCGAAATCTCTTTATATAGTGATTTCTAAACAAAGGGACCAGAGCTGCCTTAGGCCTGATACTCTGACAGGACTTCCAGGAAGGAGAATGATGGAGGGGGTAAATTTAACTAAGATATATTGTAAGCACATATGTAAATATCACAATGTATCCCCCTGTACAACTATTAGATGATAATAATTAAAAGGGGGGGAAACCCTTCACAAAAACCCCTTTCAGCCCCCCAGGTTAGGCAGAGAAGGGAAGGGAATGCCTGTAGCATCCCCTACTGGCTGCCTTGGGTCAATGTCTTTAAGAGCAGGCAGTGCCTCACAGCAGGAAGAAAGTAGGCCACAGATGCTTTCTGTGAACTTGGAAGCCTTGCATCTGTTAGTGGGATTTGTCTAATGGCACAAATGATCCTTCCTGGAATCCTCTCCTCTTTTCCTTCCTCCTGTGATTAACCTGGCATTTCAATTTGTCATTTGTACTCTGAAATGCCTTTGACATCACAGCTTTCCCCTCCTCCAAACCCTTCTTATTTACTTTTAGCATGACAGTCACCTCCCAATGGCTTTCCCTGCTTCCTTCTCCACCAACTGGTACCAACTGAGTTTATCTTTTTAAAACTAACATCCCCGCCTACCTAAGAAGCCCCAGATGGCATCTGTGTTCATGGTAAACTTTCTTAGCAAGGGGTGGAAGGCCCTTTTCAACACGACTCTAGGCTATGTTCCATTCCTGCAAACCCTTCTCTCTGCTCCCATGCTCTTCAATAAACTAAGGCATATCGACTCATGGGTCTACAAACCCTGCCCCCACCAAAACCATTTACTCTGCTTTTTCTCATGCTGTTCCCTCTGCTTGGAAGGCTTTTCCCCCAGCTGGTCTTAAGACTTCCCTCTACTCACCCTGAACCCAAACTCAAATGTACTTTCCCTCAAAAACCTTCCATGAGCCCCAAGACATACTTACGCCATGAGCCCACTGTACTGGAGACACTTATATCTGGTTCAAGTTCCCTTTAAGGCACTCCTCAGGGGTAGGAGCACTCTTACACTCATCTTGGCATCCTCTGACACAGAGCTCGTTGTGTAAGAAGCTCTCAAAAAAATGTGAACTGAATGAACACAATGTGTGTTCTAGATGTTTGTATTTCATAGAAGCTCTTATTTCCATATCTGCAAGGGTGCTAAGGAATGGAGTAGGGAGGCCACGAGTTCCTATCTGATATACAAATGAGACAGTGGCCTCATTTTCTCAATTATTTTCTAATGAGTTGCTCTCAGATACCATGTCTGCCTCAGCTTTCCTCAGCCATTTTGGAGTGAAGACCTGGGGCCCTAGTCTTGGGCTCTTGACCAACATGTGCTGAGGCAGCAGGATCCCCTGGCCACTATCTGGGGGTCTGGAATCAGTTGTGTTGTCCCTTCTCCCACCCAGGTCACAGGTACAGGTACCCTGGCCCATGCTGTGATGGGCTTCTAGGCTCTCCACTGGATTTCCACCATGGTTTTTGAATAAGTTCTCTGTGGGGATGAAAGGAAGGGAAATGGCATCTTTGAGCCAGTGCCTCATGCTTCACATTAGACATCTTGTTTAATCTTCACAGTAGCCACTGAGATTAGTGTCTTTCTTCCCCATGTTACAGATAATCAGGGCCATTAAAGATGTTACCTACAATCTTATGATCAAAGAGCGATGTAACCAGGTCTATAGAGTGACAGCGCCCACTTGCTTCCATACTCTAGGGGAACATGGTTCCAAGCCCATGTTTTTGCCTGCACAGGCTCTGCCACCTGTCTTGGCTCTGGCCCAGTCCCCCTTCTTCAACTTCAAGATCAAAGAAGGCCATTTTTAGCATCTAGGATAGCAGTTTAAAAGTTTTCCTTTAAACAATCTTCCTAACTTTTTGCAAGGCAAATCTTACTTGGAGCCCTGCTATAATCAGCAAGGAGTCTCTCTGGCAGGGGTGGTGGGGGTAGGGCATGGGGATTCAGAGCTCTACTCGGTGTCCCTTCTTGCTCCCTGAGTCACTTCTCTGGATTCACAGGAATGCACAGCACCCAGGTTTACAATGCTGCTCCTGAGCTACTCTGCTGGGGATTCCCCTGTGGCTGCCTCCCTCAACCAGCCTCAGGGAGTGGCAGGACTGGACAGGAGCCCTGCTTAGGCTTCCTCTGCTACCTACTCCCAACCCTGGCCTAGCACCCTCTGGGGAATGGGGATTGAGGAAGGAAAAGAGGGAACAATGCCTGCTGCAGCAGCCTCATGTGTACCTGCTGGCCAGTCTGCAGTCTCTACTTCTCCTTTCTCTCCTAGGACTGACATTTGATTTGGGCATCTGCTTGGCACAGAGAGAGGCACCAGCCCTTGGAAGACTCCCAGGCCTGTGTGCTGGTAGTGGGGCACAGGTGAAGGCTCAGCCATGTCACCAGTTGATAACTGTTTCTGCTGTCACCCTGGTACCACTGCCAAGCTTGTTGTACCATGGGGCCCAGGGGTCTCTCCTTGCTCCTCGAAGCCCTTAGTAATGGCTCTGTGTGGGCTGCTGGTGCCAAGGATCCAACTCACTACTTCCATTCCTCTTTTTTTTTTTTTTTTTGGCATTTCCCACATTTTTATTTCATTTTAATTTTTGATTAATGATTATTAGCAAACCATCAAAACACTGTCATGTCTTCTATGTTGTATCCATTCCTCTTTGTGGGCCTCATTTGCTTTTGTGGCCAGAGGACAGTAATGGTTTGATGGGTGTGTATGGATGGGTGGGGGGTTTAGATGGCATGTCAACCATGCCTGAGTCTGGTCTGAATTGTAGTGTGCTCTGATCAGCTGTGTGGAATGGCCAACCTAGGATCTGGTTTCAATTTAACTGCAATCTGTCCCCATTCCAGTGTTTTAATTAGGGCATGAAAGACATGTAAATATAAAAAGATACAAACTTTATAAATGTGATTCTGATGTTCTCTTTTGATATTAATTCACATTAATTGCCTCAGATGATACTGATATCCAGACAGAAATCTGGCAGCAGCATCCTGCCTGGCAGTCCTGATAATGTGCTTAAGTCAAGTGGGGGTGGCAGTAATGGGGACAGGCTCTCTGAATTGCCTAGTGAAGGATCCTGGGAGATGGGTGGGGAGAGATTATTAAATCTGATGGGTGCCAACTCAGGTGGGTGTGGTTAGCTCTGGACTAAGTTAGATAAGGGTAGGACCTGAGGCACCAGAAGTGAGATGAAGCAGGCAGAGGCAGGCATGTCCCAACAGGTGGAATGACAGAATAAAAAGCAGCAAAACAAACTCAGGGGAAACAAGATTTGGAACCAGAGAAGAGAAGAAGGGAGAGAGTGACTCAGGAGAGCCAAGATGACCTGGACAAAAGTCACAGGGGATAGGGGTCACTGAGAAGAGTGAGCAGGACACCAACTTGTTTTGAATAGAGACAGATTGGGAAACAGAAGAGGAATGTCTGGTGAAATGAGGGGAGGGGGACATGGAGATTCCTAGAAAATCTCCTTCGTGGGCTCTTGGCCACAGTCACTGCAAGGATGAGCTCTGGGAGGTCAGAGGAGAAGGGCTAAGAGAGAGCCGTAGGTAAAGTAAGTCCCTGGTCATCTGGGGAGCCTGGAGGATGGGTGGTCTCAGCGGGACCCTGGGCCACTCTGTCTTCTCTGCTGAGTGAGCCTCTCAGGTTGCTGGGGGCACATGCCGGGCTGGTACCTGCATGATACGGACATAGTCTGTGCGGTGCAGCTCACTCTCCTTGACCACCTTCTTTTTGAGAGTGGCCAGGTTCCTCTCCAGATGTTCCCGCTGGCGGGCATACTCCTGCTGCAGGTCCGAGTTCAGCCCTGCAATCTCCACCTGTTAGGGCCAAAGGAATTCTCAGTGAGGGAGCGGAGGTATGGAGTGCAGTGCAGTGCAGTGTGGGGCAGGGCAGGGCAGCAGGGGACTCAGCTCACCATGTCTGCCCGCTGCACGTACTTCTCAAAGAGACCTCGGATCTTTTCCTTCAGCAGGCGCGGTTCCTGGATATATGCCACACAGTTGTGAAGGTCGGTCTTAAACCGTTTGACCAATGCTTCCAAGTCCCGTTCCTGCAACCAGAGACATTTACTTCTGGCACTGCAGCATGCTCTCCAGGTGGAAGGGCAGGGGCTGCAGGCAGAGGCTGATGGCACAGAAAGGGACAAGAGTCACCTCCCCTGGGATTTACAGCTGACTACCAGGGACCACACTGGACATGGAGACCTAGATGGGCTGAGAGCTGGCAGTACTGAAACTCTTGTGCACCTGACTGGACTGGGTCCCTTGGTTAAACAGCCTAGGTGGCTTGGTGCAGCATCCTTAAAGGACCACATATGGCTTCCTTTGTTGCTCTGCATTCCTTTTAGGACTACAGGCCTTAAAAGATGAAAGGATGCTCACATCGCCACCCATATTTCTTTAGAGCCAAGACAGATGGTATCAGTCTCTCCTGCAAATTCCAGTGCTTATCCCTCTTGAAAGTCAGGAGCACTCCTGTCAATGTGGGGGCAACCCCCCCAAAACTGCACACATGGGCTAGCTCCCCCCATTCATTCAATTATGGTTCCTCTGATACTTATCTCCCCCTACCCTGACCTAGAGAGGATCTCTACTTTCTCTTCCTCCTATAACTCTTTATCCACATCCCATATTTTTTCTACCACAAACCACCTACCAGCCTCTTCAGTTTGTGAAGGGCAGGATCAGAATCCATTCACAATTGGGACTCGGTGGCTTCTAATATTTAGTGCAGAGTAAACAATGTGAGGTTGGAAAAGTCATCCGGATTCAACAAATATTTTGGGGGTAGACTGGGCTGCAGAAAGAGGGTACAACTAACATCCTGGCCAGGACCATATACCTGATTTCTATGACTGGCTCCAAATGTGCTAACTAGCTATGTGTGCTGGTAGTGTCTTAGCCTCCTTTCTCTGGCCTTCCTTTCCTTATATGTTACATAAAGAGACAGGGATAGGTGATCGCTGAGGTTCTTGTGGCCTCAGCAGATTTTTTTCTTTCTTTTTTTTTTTTTGGTGGTCAAAGCCTTTAACCACTGAGAACAAATGACCACTGTGAGCATATTTTCCCCAGACCAAACAAGCTGAAGGCTAAGAATGTTCCTGTAAAAACAGTGTCCCACCCCCTGATCACTGTACCCAAGTCATTTTATAGTCTCAGATGAATTTAGTCATGTAAATTTGCATAGGCCTGAAATTGGGCATGGCTGTGGGCAAGCATAGAGCATGAGTTAAAATGGGAAGCGTATCTTAGCAATGGGCTGGCTCTGTCTCCAAAGCCAGCTGTCCATCGCAGGCAGGTGCCAGATATTGAGGCCAAGCACTGCCAGACTCTGACGGTCCTCACACCTTCTGCTGCTCTCTGCGCATCTCCTGGTCAGTGGCTCTCAGTTTCTGCCACAGTTCTGTGATGTTCAGCTCCAGTTGCGTGTTCTGTTTATGGAAACGCTCTAGCTCGGCTTCCATCTGTAGAGAACCAGGGAAAAAGGCAAAAACAAGAAAGTAAGAGAATGAAAACTGTATTTGAGAACTGAAGTCTTAGTGGGAACCTTCCCCAATTCCAGGGCATTTCTTTTCTAGTTCCACCTATGCTTTCCTCTTTATCATCCTAAAAGCCGCTACTTCCTTGCCTGAGGATGTGTCAACCCAAGGCCTCATGTGCCTGTGGCCAGGCTGGGAAGTTCTCCTTCTCAGTCATCTTCATTTTGTTCTTAAATTCCTTCTAACTCAAGGTAACTCTCAACTCTAATATGAGGCATGGCTTTCCAGAGAGCACCTTTCTCTCCTCCTTTGTTAGGTTATACCAGTGAAACTTGATCACAATCAAGAACTTGATTGACCACAGTCATTCTAAACCTAACGTTCAGGGCCAATTCTAAAGCAGAGATTTAAAAAGTGTAAAACAGGAAGAAAACAAACCAACAAAACTGAGAAGGAAACTCAGCTCATCATTCTGTTGAAAAGTTCTTAAAAAGCACAACTAAGCGGTGGCAGGTATGGTGGCTCACATCTGTATCCCTGTAATCCCTGCTACTCAAGAGGCAGAGATCAGGAAGATCACACTTTGAGGATAGCCTGGGCAAGTAAGTTAATGAGACTCTATGTCAACCAAATAAGTGGGCATGGTGGTACATACTTGTAATCCTAGCTACACGGGAGGCCATAGGTTGGAGGATCATGATCTGAGGCCAGCCCAGGCAAAAATGCAAAACTCTATCCAAAAAATAACTAAAGCATAAAAGGCTAGGGGCATGGCTCAAGTGGTAGAGCACCTGCTAACCAAGTGCAAGATCCTGAGTTCAAACCCTAGCACTACACACACACACATACACACACACATAATTACAACTGAGGGGTATTCCATCTTCAAAAGGAAAACAAGAAACTATCAGTGAGATTCTGAAATATTTTCTCTTCATTGTTGCATTATGTTAATCAAAGACATGTGATAACTGGAACTTCTTATTTAAGGTGAGACTAGATGTGTGTGAACTTTCAGTAAACCCAACTCCTGGCCAAAGCAAAAGGTGATGTTTGGCTTACACATGAAATCTGGTTGGCACTAGTACTCCTGTTAATAGGGAGGCTCACTGACTGCTTTTGGGGGGGGGGGATGATGAGATAGTTTATGGGATTTTTTGTGCTAGGTGAAGTAGCCCCCTGAGCTTATCCCAGGTCCTTTGGTCAGGTTTCAAGGCTCTTGGCAACTGTCTGAGAGTACCATCAGGGTTCATGTTCTAGACACAAAGGGGCAGCTTTTAGAGGAACATTTTTCTTATTATTGGAAGCATTTTATTAGACAGAATGGCCCTTTGACATATGTCTGCCATGAAGTGGTGCTCAATAAGTATTTGATGAATGAATGAATGAATGACAAGTGTGGTAGGCAAAGGGAGCAATAATGAGGGCATGAGGAGGGGCTGAAATGACCTGCTTCTGGAATAGAATTAAAAGATAAACGGGCAGTGTTGGCAGAGCTATGTAGAGCCACCTTGAAGAGGATACACAATAAAGGTGAGAGTCTTTGCACAGCTAAAGAAAGAATGTCCCCATTAGAAAGGACTGCCCAGCTGTCATAGGCTTAGGGATTTGAGCTATCTTCAAAAAGCCTCAGGTCTGAGGGACAAGAGACATAAATCAGAAGTTAAGGTGAAATGGGATACATACTGTCTGTGGTGAAGGTAGAAGGTGTCCTGTGAGCACACAGGAGGTGAGCAATTGGCCCCCGGAGAAGGGAGGCTTTAGCTGGGCTTTGTAGGAAGAGCAAGCATTAGAGGATAAAAGGGAGAAGAGAATTGCAGGCAGAAAGCAGCCTGCATGCAGTGGACCAGAGGCTCCAATGTCCTGGTGCATTTCCGCAGGCTGACAGTGGTTTCCAATAACTGTAGAACAGGGGAGGGGAGGGATTGAGAGGTCTGCTGAGCTGGGACATGCAGGACCCAAAGGCAGAGGCTCAAATGGTAAGAGATTTGGCCTTCATCCTGAAAGCTCGGAGAACTGCTGAAGGGCTTTATCAGGAGCAGCAGGAGCCAGTGATGCATAAGTTCTACTAGAAAGGGCAAAACTGGAGCCAGGCAGAGCAGCCAGGAGGCTGTCATTGGGTCCAGGTGAGAGATGATAGTGTCCTAGGCCAGGGAAATGTGTGCTGGAGGACAGAAAAGGGCTTCTCCAACTTGCAGGGCTCCTCAGGTCATGTCTGAATGCTGAGAGACAACCATGGCTCTTTCTCTGAAATCTTAAAGTCAGCAGCAACAGACGGCTGGAATGGAAGAGATACAGGATTGTATTCTTTACCTCTGCTCTTTTTCCCCCAGGCAAAGCCTCAAATTACCCTGAGAATATAAATCATCTGTTTTACAGAAAAAATGTGGAATATGTGAAATTTGAGTATTTGGCTGGAAAGTCAGAAGACGAGCCTAGAATGTGGGAACAAGCATCCCTTTCCCACTGTGGAAATTCCAACTACTTTCCATATGCTATTCATCGTGCTCAGAGATTCTCAATGGGGCCGGGGATGGGGAGGATAGAGAGAGCATTTTGCTCTCTGGGAGACATGCCAATGTCTGCAGACACTTTGACAAGGGGTTCTGCTAGCATCTAGTGTGTAGGGGCCAGAGATGCTGCAAAACATTCTGCAATGTACAGACAAGCTCCACGCAGAGAATTATCCACCCCAAAACATTAATAGTGATGATGCACGTGATGAAAAAATAAAGGAATGGAAACTAAAATGATAATGCGCTGAAAACCTCTCCCCTAGGACAGGTTCTTCTTGACGGAGAAGCTGGAAAGATGCATGTGAGGGGCTTATGTGTTCATTTACAGAGATCTCAGCCCTACACACGCCAAGAGCTTGACCCTTCCTTTGTGTAGGAAGAAGAATTTCACTGAGGATCTATAGTGAGTAGGCTGAATATCTCTGACCCCCAGAGGAAAGCCCCAAGGTCAGAGGTCACTGGAAGCAACCAGGCCAAGATACCAGCCTTGGCAAACACAGGCACCAGGGGAGGAGCTGGAGGGGCCCTGTCCCAATCATTCCCAACGCACAAGCACATTCCCTACTGAAAATCGAGGTCATACTTGGCTGCTTACTGCCTGGAAGAGTGAATAATCCCCCAGGTGTGTTGGTGTGGAAAATAAGCTGAGTGTCATCAAACTTGGGACCTAATCTTAAATCCAATTGACAGATGTGTCAAAAGAGGAGGGAGGATGGGTACAGTTATTTCCAGGGATTGGCTGCACACTTCCAGGTGGGTGGGGTTCTGATCTTCCTGTCAACTTCTTGGGATGCTTCTAAAGTCTGAATTTAAGTGTCCCCTCAGAATGCATATGTTGAAAACTAATCCCCAAGATAAAGGTATTAAGAGGTGGGGACTTTGGGAGGAGATTAGGTCACGAGAGCAGAAACTCACCAATGGGATTAGTGCCCATTTCAAAAAAGGCCTAAGGACACATGACAATCACCATGTGGGCCTTCCCAGATACCCAATCTGCTAGCACCTTGATCTTGGAATCCCCAAACTGTTGTTTGTATGTTACAAAGTCTAAGGTATTTTGTTATCAAAAGGACTAAGACAGTTGCCATTTTTGATACTGAAGCCATGTGAGAATGGCAAATGGCTCCAAGGAGGCAGCTCTGTGGGCAGCTGGGAGAGAGAGAACAGTCTGCAGGTGCCAGTGAAAAAGTCACTGCCACCCTCTCTGGACCCCTTATTCCTGGACTGATCTCCACCTGGCTTCTTTACTGGGTCTTCTAGAGAAAAGACTTCACTGGGCAGACCAGCAGTATATATAGCTTGTGGGCATCTAGTCTGGTCATCAATGGTGACACACTTGTACCTGTTGTCCTTGCTTAGTAAAAACAGCCACAGAAAATGGAAGGGGAAGCAGGATCCTATTTTGTCTAGAGTGGCTAGGAAAGTCTTCCTTGAATTGGTGACATCTAAGCTGAGACTGAAAGATGCGAAAAAGCATTTGGGGACAGCCTTCCAGGCAGAGGTCCTGAGATGGTAAAAGCCTGGCTTGTTGTAGGAACTGTCAGATAGCTGGTAGCTGGAGTAGGAGGGGGAGCCTGCTGATGAAGCTAGACAGTGGGGGAGAAGCTGAAATTTGGATTTTATTATAGGATAGGATACCACTGTGGTGTTTGCTCTGACCTATATGTAGAGATCAAGCCTGAGCCTGGAGTCAAGTTCAGATAAGAGATGGTGGAAGCTTGGTCCAGGGTGAAAACAGTAGGTGAGAAATGCTGGATTTTTTTTTTTTTGTGGTGGTACTGGGGTTTTGAACTTAGGGCCTCAAGCTTGCTAGGCAGGCAGTCTACAACTTGAACACTCTGCCAGTCCTGTTTTTTTTTGTGTTGGGTATTTTTCAGATAGGGTTTCAGAAAACTATTTGCTTGGGCTGGTTTCGAACCATGATCCTCCTGATCTCTGCCTCCTGAGTAGCTAGGATCACAAGCATGAGCCACTGGAACCCACTGGCAATACTGGATTTGAAATGTCTTTTGAAAATTGATCGGGTAGATACCCAAAAGACTGTGACACAGGTTACTCCAGAGGCACCTGCACACCCATGTTTATTGCAGCACTATTCACAATAGCCAAGTTATGGAAACAGCCAAGAAGCCCCACCACTGACGAATGGATTAAGAAAATGTGGTATCTATACACAATGGAATTTTATGCAGCCATGAAGAAGAACGAAATGTTATCATTCGCTGATAAATGGATGGAATTGGAGAACATCATTCTGAGTGAGGTTAGCCTGGCCCAAAAGACCAAAAATCATATGTTCTCCCTCATATGTGGACATTAGATCAAGGGCAAACACAACAAGGGGATTGGACTTTGAGCACACGATAAAAGCGAGAGCACACAAGGGAGGGGTGAGGATAGGTAAGACACCTAAAAAATTAGCTAGCATTTGTTGCCCTTAACGCAGAGAAACTAAAGCAGATACCTTAAAGCAACTGAGGCCAATAGGAAAAGGGGACCAGGAACTAGAGAAAAGGTTAGATCAAAAAGAATTAACCTAGAAAGTAACACACACGCACAGGAAATTAATGTGAGTCAACTCCCTGTATAGCTATCCTTATCTCAACCAGCAAAAACCCTTGTTCCTTCCTATTATTGCTTATACTCTCTCTTCAACAAAATTAGAGATAAGGGCAAAATAGTTTCTGCCAGGTATTGAGGGGGTAGGGGCAGAGTGGGTGGTAAGGGAGGGGGTAGGGGCAGGGGGGAGAAATGACCCAAGCCTTGTATGCACATATGAATAATAAAACAATAAAAAAATTGATCAGGTAGGTGTTGGTGATGATTTGGATATAGGAGTTAAGAGAAAGAAAGAATAAAGACTTCCCAATTTCTGCTTTAAGTAACTGGGTGAACGATGGTTTTATTTAGTGAGAAATAAGAAATCAGAGAAAGGGTAAGAAAAAAAAAAGAATCAAATTCTTGGTGGCGCAAATACTGGGGAAAATTCAAGAATTCAAATTTCCATTAACCATGGACCCTACTACCAGTTGTGTTCTGCCCAGTGAGGAGAGGCTGACAGGTAAATACATGTTATAAGGAAATACAATATGGAGAGGGCCCTGGGGACAAAAGGGAACATTTGTTTGTCACTAGACTGTCAGAAACCCTTGTCCAACTGATCTCGCCTCTCTACTTTCATCCTGTTTGCTTCCCAGAACATACTCCAAATTGTTCCACTCTTGTGCTCAAGAGCTCTTGAAGATTTCCGATTCCTTATCAGATGAAGTCCAAACACCACGTGAGGGGTTTGGGACGCTACCTGCATTCCCAGTTTGAGAAAAATAATGTTGAACCAGAGAGGTATTTGGTGAGAAAGCCTGTTGACTGAGTATGCACTGCCCTCTGGTGGCCTAACGTCCAACAGCTGCATTTCCCTTTCTGCCTCAAGGCCAAGCTAAATAAACCTCAGCACTTTGCTTTGGGGATGCTGAGCCCTTAGTTGGGCCAGGGCCTTCCCCGTGGCATCATGTGTGGGGTGGAGGCTGCACACACCTTGGGAAAAGACAGGGGCTGTGAGAAGTTTTCATTCATTTCTCTGGGGCCAGCTAACAACAGTGGAGGATGAGACAGAGGGTCTGAGAGGCCAGGGTGTTGCAGATGGCTCTCACCTCCTGAATCTGTTCCTTCATCACCTTGATCTCATACTCTCGAGGTTCTATTTGCTTCTTCAGCTCCTTTATTTTGTAGTCAAGCACAAACTTGAATTTCTCTAGCTCTTGATTTTTCTTTTTCAAATCATATATTCGCTTTTCCTAGGGGTTCAAATGAGAGAAGTGAAAGACACCACAAGGCCCTGGTACATGGAATTCCTTTAGGGCGAGGAACACAAATCCTGTGATTCTCCATATACAGGAGGCCACAGACTTATTGCCTCAGTGGGGAAACAAAGGCCTGCACTACCCCCACCAGACTGCAGCATTGTCTCCTTCGCTCTGTGCCAGGAGCTCCATCCACTCTCTTGCTCACTCGCTCTTCCATATATAGGCTGTGGACCACTGTATCTCCCATCCCTGTAATCCTGATGCTTCTCTATCAGCAGGAGGAAATAAGTTTCCTTCTCTTAGGACTGGCTGGACTTACAACCTCCTTGTAACCCAAAAAAATGCAGTGAAAGGGATGCTGTTTGGCTTCCAAGGCTAGGTCAGAAAAGCCAAGCAGCTTCCCCCTAGCTCTCTTGGGATATTTGCTCTGAGGGAGGCTATTTGCTAGATAGGTGCTCTACCACTTGAGCCACTCCACCAGCGGGGGAGGCTATTTGCTATGTGAGAAGTGTGACCATACTGAGCCCTCCAGGCTGGAGAGCATTCAGGGCTGGTGGAAAGATCCAGATAAGCCCAGCGTCCCAGCATCTCTACTAAAGTGCCAGGATGTAAAGAAGATGAATATTGACTTTCCAGCTTCTAGCTGTTCGAGTCACCCCCATTCTTCCCAGCTGAGGATGCAGACATGTAATTTGTTGTACAGTAATTGTAACTGGAACATGGGCCTATCCATCTACCAAACCTTTACTGAATGAAGATCTTTTGCCAAATATTAGAATTCCAAATATAGGTATGACCCTGTCTCTGTCCTTCAGGAGAAAACACCAGAGGGAAGCAGATGTAAAATGTGATAGGAGAATTGTAAAGGAGGGAGACACAGAGGCATTGACAGTGCTGAGAATAACCTGCTTGAGTGTCAAGTGGTAGGTCACCAGGGAAGTGGGAAGTGAGACTGAGGAAGGGTGAGGAAGGCGAGGGTCTTGCATGTTAGTTTAAAGCATTCTGAATTTATCCTGTAAACTCAGGCTGTGGGCCAAATTTGGTTGGCTGCCTATTTTTTGTAAAGTTGGGTTGGAATATAGCCAAGTTCATTCATTTATATTTTGTTTATGGGTGGTTCCCATATGGTACTGAATTGATTAGTTAAGACAGAAACCATATTGGCTAGAAAAGCTAAATTATTTGTGGTCCAGTCCTTTACAGAAAAAGTTTGCTGACCCCTGCTATAGGCTATGGGAAGCTACTAAAGAATTTTAAGTGGGAGAATGACATAATTATACCTGCACTGTGGCAGCTGTGGTGGTAGGGACCAGAGGCATGAAGTGGGAAGGAAGGCCCTTAGACTGGCTGGGAGACTATTGCAATTTTCTAGGTCTGGAGGCCTTGCTTGCTTTCTTGTCAATTCTCACTCTGAGAATCTGAAGAGAGCTTCAGATTCATATACAAACCTTTATATGCAGAAATGGCATGTGGGACTTCCCACTCAATCCTTACAACTTCCTCCCCAAGGTAGTTATCATTCACCACTTAGCAGGTGAGAACAGAAAGTCTTAGAACCGCTGTCTAAGGTGCAAAACCTAGTAAACGGAGGGGCCATGTTGGAATCTATTTATCTAACACTAAAGTCCATATTCAACCACAGGGGACTTCTGCCTGGCCAAGGCACTAGATGCACAGTGGATGGACAGGAGGGTGTGGAGTCTGGATTTGCTGAGGAGGATAACACTAAATTCTGGATATTGGGGTGGTATACCCCCAGAATGTGTGCCTGTCTTCTGCGTGTTTTGTGGGAAAGGCATCCCACAAAGTGGTACCAGATTTCTGGGGTATCAATTGGTTACAGGACCAACCCAGGGGAGTTTCTCTCTGGCAAGGAGGCCCATGTGGGCCATGTGGAGGGTGAGTTTCCCACAGTCCATGGAGATGGGTCACCATAGGATGCCTGGAACAGTGCAAGGTGTGGCCCTTGGAGTCAGCTGACCCATGTTCTCATCTCTAAGCCTGCCAAAACTGTGTGGCCTTGGGCAGGATACTCAACCCCTTGGCACTTAGCTTCCTGAGTCATAACACTGAGTTGCTTGTGCTCTGGGGCTGTTGGCAGAACTGAGTGTCATGTGTTGACAGCAATCAGCTCAGTCCCAAGCACACAGTAGGCACTTCACTGACCACTCATTCCCCATCAACTTGAATCAATGTGCTCCAAGGAGCCACAAGCTCTCTCTCCCAGGGGTGGACCCACCCAGACAGCTGCTGAGGGAGGGTATAAGAAGAGTCCTCACCTTGTCTTGAATTGTCTCATCTCTTTCCTGGATCTCTCGCTTGAGGCCTTGGATGTCCTTCTCCAGGGACTTGATGACTCCTTGCAGCTTTACCTGCTCCCCCTTTAGGACCTCAATGTCATTAGCTCGCTCTTCAATCTCCTTCTGCAGGCTGCTGAACTGAAGGTACAAAAGGCAATGAAAAAGACCACTGGGGTCTCTGAGCTCACCTGCATTCCTCCAAGGTGTCTGAATGCAAAGATCTCCCCAGCACTGACCAACTGGGCTGAAAGCCTCTCCTCCAAAGAACTGAGAACACTAAGCACTCAAGGTCTCTAGGATTTGGGGAGTGAATTTAATTAATTAATTAATTAATTTTTGAGACATGGTCTCACTATGTAGCTCAGGCTAACTCCAACTCATGCTCCTTTTGCCTCAGCCTCCCAAGTGCTGGGATTATAGGAATGCACCACCATATATGGCTCTTTTTGTTTGTTTTTGGGAGTGAATTTTTTGAGAATTTGGGATAGTTCAAGAAGTTCCCAGGCCAAACAGATGATGGAGTATTCTGCTTGCTAATATCTGTCCCATTCTCTGCATGTGAAAATGGCTTGTCTCTGCCCAAGAGTCTTCTGAGACCAGTTCCTTGAATGAAGTCAGGGTCTTCCATGACTACACAGACCTTGAAAGGCTGACTCACCAAAGCCACAGAGATTGAGCCCTACTTGATAAGCCATCTTAGACATGTCCAAGAAGGGATGACATGATTGTCCCTTGGGTTTACTAGTGGTGTGATTTCTAAAGGAAGGAACACGAGCTTGCTTTGAACTTGGTTTCTCTAAGGCTAAATGGTTTGGGGCAACTGTGGCTACAAGGATCTGTGAACAGAATCCTCCTTCACTTAGTCATCAGTGAACTAAAAGTGCCTATTCCACATTGTAAACAAAGTGTCTTCCACCCATACTCACTATCCCACCTGGAAAATCCAGATAGGAGGCACCAGACCTGGAGGTCACCTCCAGGCCAAGATGTCATCTATCTCATCCTCAAGAGGTCTCAATTCTATTTCTGCCAGATCTTACTCAGCCAGAGGTGGAAGTCCAGAGCATCTACCAGAGTATAGGGAACTGCAACAGCCCTTTGAAAGGGAAGGAGGAGGGGAAGATGGATCTGACCCTTTCAGAGCATGTGGCAGAGATCCATCTGCCTAAAGGTCTACCTGTCAGTGCTCCTGTCCTAACATAAGAAGATTCAGAAGGAGCATCTGCTTGGCCACCCAGGGTTTTCTATCCACCTGCCCACAGCTTGCTCTGCAATATAGCCTGAGCCCACCCCCAGGTCTCTCTGAATAGCCTGATACCTTCTTCCTCATGATGCCTGTTTCTCCCTTGAGCCTCAGGTTGGATTCCTTTTCATCACGAAGCTTTCTCTCATACTTGGTTTTGATATCTTGGATTTCTCGATCTTCATCTTCTTCAATCTGCTTCTTGGTTTCTTCAAACTCCCGCAGCTGCTGCCTGACATCTTCCTGTGCCTGATTCAGAGAGAAGGAGAGAGCATGGTCATGGGAAAAGGGACTCATAATGCCTCTTGTGCTGAGGGGCCTGGGATAAGATGAACACAGGAGCCTTTCATGGGGAACAGGAACTGAGCCTTATTAAAGAAATGGAAACTGAGGCCCTGGGTCCTATGTCCTGTCCACTGTTTTCCTATCTCCCCTCTTGCCCAACCAGATCAGGTCTCAGGCTCTACCACTTCTTCAACCACCCTCTTACCACCACCCTCATACCCTATTTTGTCTCTGGTCTTCACAACCACACATAGGCTTCCTATATTTTTCCTTCACAGACTTGTGACAGCAGTAATTTTAAATTTATTTGTGAATTTTCTTCTCCTATTAGATGTAAGTTCCTTGAGGGTAGAAGCCTGTCTCTCATGCCCACCACTGAAGTCCCAGTGGAAGGCATATATTAACACACCGTAGCCACGTGATAAATCATTGAAGGAATGAGTGACTCTTTTACTTCTGCTCTCCCTCCCCTTTCTCCCTGAAAGGGAGGAATAACTTGGCTCCCTGTGAGTACCTCCTCTAGAAGGGTGGTTTTCTCTTGCAGCTTGGCCTCGTAAAACTCAGTCAACTCCTCCAGGGCCTGGCTCCTGGTCTCATCATTGTCCCGAAGCTGTTTTTCATACTCCTCCTGCATCCTCTGGGACTTGAGCTGCAGCTCCTGGTATTTCTCATATTCTAGAAGCAACTTCTGATTGTTGCAACATTCTGGAGAAAGGCAAGAGGGTAAGTATTTCATGTGGGGAAGCAGCACCAACTGGAGGGACACATAGGTGCCCTGGCCGCTTTCCCACCCTTTCCAGGCCAGCCAGAGCAGCTGCCTGCAGAGCCACGGTTTAAGGCCTACCTGGCCTCTGTGCCTGCCCTTACTTCATATCTTTCCAGGAAGTCAAACTCCCTCCCTCTGGCTTTGGACAGGAAGGTTCTAGGAAGATATGGGGAGGTGGTGGGGAGGCATTTGAAGAATGCCAAGAAGTATGTCCTAAGTAGGCAAAACAGGTATTAGAATTCCCATTTTACAGAAGAGAAAACTGAGACTTGGTAAGGTTAGGTGACTCCTTAGAGCACCTAGCAAGTAAGTGCTGATTCTGGGACCCAAAGCATATGAGTCTCCAAATGTGAACTTGCCCATATCTCCTACTGGCATGCAGTAGGTATTTGAAATATATTTAAGGAATGAGTAAATACGCGGGAATAAAAACCAAGGAGGGTTGCAGGGGGACATGTAGCCTGTTCACAGGCAGAACCATGTTCTCTGGGACTTTGCTGGGACTGGGTAACTTTTGGTGTTTTCCTTTAGCCTGCCTCCTTCCAGCCCTAAGCAGTCATCCTCGGCCCATGTGGCTTCCACTTGTGGGCTCACCCAGATCTTGCAGTTCCCGGCTTTGTTTGTCTAGGAGGTCATCAATTCGCTCACGGTGCTGTATGTCCTGCTTTTCTTTTTCTGTTTTTAAAACCTAAAACACAGAGTCACATATTCTCATTTCTTCATATCTGCTCAAGGCACCAATGCAATGAGAACGAATTTTACAAGTAACACTTGCAAACCTCACTCATAAAGTTTTTTCTGGCCCTTATTACACTGTACTATGGAGCAACAAAATGATCACTTTTATTCACATTATATTCGGCTCTGAAAGTTCTATCCTTTCCCTACTTATTCCCTTGCTACTAAGTAGGTTTGTCAATGATGTTTGGTTTTAGACATGTATCAAGTAAGTTTGCAGGTAAAAAAGTAAGGATTCATTTGAATATACTCTTGCTTGCACATTGCTGTTAACTCCTCAGGCATGGTACTACGTAAATGTCTAAGAAGCATTTTCTCTAACTGAGCAGGAGAGCTGCTTGCAGGCTGAAGGGTGCTATCCCAACACCTAGCTTTGTACTTGGCATATGCATGGTATCAAGTAAATGCTTGCTGACTAAATGAATTAATAAAATTAATAGCCACAAGGTTTTCAGCCAAACTCTGACCCATGGAGATAACATAATAGAACAAATACCCTTGAGCAAAACTTTGGGAGTGCTTTGGATGAAGGGCCAAATGGATTTGTGCAGAACAAGAAAGACTTGGAAAGTCCTGAATCAAGTCTAAGCACAGACAGTTTGGACTAATTTTATTTGAACTTTCTGACAATCTAGAAATCAATATTCTGCTAATTATTCCCTTGCTATACTTTGTCCTTCCTTCCTTCCTCCTTCTCTCTCTCCCTTCCCTTCTTCCTTCCTTTTTCCCTTCCTCCTTCCCTCACTCTTTATATTGAGCTACATCAACCTCTCATTTTGTTTTCAAATAAGTTTTTCTTGATCACAAAAGAAATAAATTCTCATTGTATGGATTTGGAAATTATAGAAAAGTATAAAAAGTTTACATTATTCATAATCTCAGCTTTTTAGAGGTGTCAGTTATTTTGTGTGTGTGTGTACTTATTTCACCTAATTGATACCATCCGCTATGGAGAATTTTCTATTCTGCTTTTTTCCACCTAGCACCCTGTTTCACACATTTCTGACATCATCAACTATGCTTTACAATTGAACATTACCCTACATCTTCTTGATCAAGCATAGCTTGGGCAATACAGCTAGCCTCATCTTTGGTAAAGTGGCAATTTCTTATGACTTGCAGTTGCTGATTCAGCCTCTTAAACAGACCTGGTTTTTTGTTTTTAAGGACTCCATTTCTTGAATGAACTTGTCAGTTAGCTCCTTAATCTTCTCAGAATAGTTCATATCCTTCAGTCGAAGCTGATACTCATTCTCCATTTTTAACTCTTCCACACGAGTCTTCAGCTCCAACATAACCTGAGCCTTTGGAGGAAGGACACAGAATCAATTCACAGTGGGATGAATCAGACAATTTAAACCTGTGACCTTGATCTGGGACCTGAAGCTATACCTAGCTTCAAATTCAGTGTGTCTCAACTAGAACTTTTCCTCAAAAGATCACAGGCTAAAAACCAAGAGACATATAAGCTACTTCTTCTGTCTTCACAATGTATTCAGTGGGCTCCACTGTATACTAATAACTCTCATTTCTCCTTCACATTGGCTTAAATGTTGCCTGCTCAGTGAGGCTACTTGGACCCCACTATTTCGTCTTACTACCCCATCCCATTCCCAGCATTGCGTTCATGACTTCCCCTCCTACTCCATTACTCTGCTCTACTTTTTATTATTTCCTTAAATCTTGGTACTTTCTAATTAATATTCTGTATAATTTACTTTTTATTTTGTTTATTCTTTTGTCTTTTTCCCCCTTTAGAAATTAAGCTCCAAGAAGGTTGGATCTTTGTTGGTTTTGTTTCCTCATATATTCCAAGTATTCAGAACAATGCCTAATACATAATTGACACTTGTTGAATCACAATTCCTGCTCCCATAGAATTTATAGTCTATTGTGAAACCAAATAAACAAATAGTTATAATTTATAATAAATGTCCAAAGAAAAGAAGTTCTCAGTGCTGACAATTGTCCCTCCTCATGTCTTTCATGCCTGTGCTGGTCTCACTCTATTTCTTTAATGTAGGTACTAACTCTTTGGTTGGCTTGTCTCTGATGTCCAGTATCTTTTCCTTCCATTATGCCCACAGATGCCAAAGTTTTCTGAAAATATTGTTAACACACACACCTTCATTTCCTAAAGAGTTAATGCTGATGACAGGGTGAAGACACAGGTGTTTCTTCTTGTTCACCTTGACTACACCCCATGCACCCCCATCTCATCTTTGCTGGCCTGTTTTCCTTACCACCTGTGAGTGACTTGATGACAAGAAACACAGTATATTTGCTTCTTCATTCTTGGCCAGCACACTAGGGCAGACCTAGCAAGTGGGAAGTACTGAGACAAGGGATGCATACTAATTGCATGTGCAGTCAGGGAGGTTAAGCGAGAGGATGCCCAGTCAGGGCCCTGATGTGATTGGTGGAAGGCAGAGGAAGAGGAGGTGAGAGTGGGAGAATATCAAGGTCCCTGAAAGCCATGTGGGAAAGTGGATTTGATACTTGAGGGCCTCCATAGGTCCTCAATAGCCTGATTAAGCTGACTTTATTGTCATGAGGACCTCTTTGAAGGCAGTGTGCAATATGAGCTCGATTAGAGATAGACTGAAGGTAAGATGATTAGTTGGAGGATGGCTGCATATAGTCCAGATAAGAGATGGTAGGGATTGAGTTGAGGTAGGGGAGGGGATCAGAGAAGAATGGAATGATTGGAGAGAAATGTCCCAGCAAAAGTGGTGCTAGACTGGGTGTAGGTGGAGGTGAGAGGATCATGGTAGAACTTAAAGTTGAGCTTGGCCTGCTTTGTTTCACTGCTCTATCACCCGAGCCTAACATAGGACCAGCAACATCTTCAGTGCTGACAATTCTCATCGGATGAACAAATGGCCCCAGGGTCTGTCTTGGGCTAGTGGGATACATTTATTGGTGGGAATGGTCCAGTTTTTGACATGTGACATTTGAGGTATTTGCTCATCAGCCTTCCTTACTCCATCTTCACACCTCTCTAAAGTGAAAATCTTATTAAGATACTCCCTAAATGCAACCTATAAGTGGGCCCTCGTGAACAATTCCCAAAGTCAAAAACGGTGTAAGAGGCCACTCAAGATTTCTCCCTTTAACCTTCCTCTCTGGCACACACTCTACACTCTAGCCACATGTAGTAGGACCATCCTCCCCAGAGCACCACTCCCTCAGCCCTCTGCACAACTTATTCCTTAGTGCGGAAGAAGGTCCTTTCCATTTGTTCTGGAGGGCTCCATGCAGGGCTTGCTTTCTTTTGTACCACATGGCCTGGGTTGGGGTCCTTCCCTTGTGCTCTCCCAGCATTGTTCTTTCATAATACCCAGTGCACACTTAACTTCCCTATTTTATTTCACCTGGCCCTCTTCCAAGGCTGTAAGCTAAAAGCTGTGTCTTATCTCTATAGCTCCAGACTTCAATATAGTGTCAGGTACATGGCAGACCCCTGTGTCAATACCAAATGGAGAGTGAGTAACTGAATGATGAAATGGGTGGGTAAATACAGGGCTGAGAGACAAGTTACACAGAACACAGAATATAAAGAAAAAAAGAGAGCTGAAATTCTGGGAAATTTAAGGGTTGGGTGGAGGAAGAGCCAGGGAAAGAAACAGGGAGGAGAAATAAGAAAGGTTTCCAGGGAATAATCAATGTGTTCCCATGAACACTGAAAGGTGAGGATGGGTTAGGAAGTAAGCAATACATACACTAGGCATTTTCAGCTTGGCAGCAGTGCTATCACACCTAACTGGGGGCTGCGGTCAGATGTCAACCCAGACACTGTCAGACCTTTGGTTCAGCCTGATGTCTCCTATTTGGCCTCTTCTCTTACCCTCTAGGAAGAAAGAAGACAAAACCAGACAGAAAGTAGAGAAAAAGACATTTTCCTGCCACAGGGAGGTCAGACTCTTTCCTTTTCTTTTCTCCCCCTTTGCCTTTCCTGCAGAAAGTTCCAGGGATCTCTAGAAGGGACCTCCAGGAAACCCCTGAGATCCGTTATTCTGCTTTGTGGCTGTTTCTGCATTGCTGTTCTGACAATTTTACTTATCTCTCTTCCCCACTTGACTGTAGCTTCCTGATAATAAGGCCCATGCCTGGCTTTTCACATGTGCATCCTCACTGCGTAGCTAATGATAAATATTCAATGAACACACTTAGATTTTTCTGAGTAGCAATGAGTACATAGTTCTGGGATTCTCCAATAGCCAGATAGCTCTCCTTTAGGGACCTCTGCCAGGAGCTATACACTCAAATTTCTGCATAACACTTTTTGGAGTGTTTACTGCATTAACAGGAGGGGAAATCCCCTGATAAAGAGGCTTTGAACTAAATCTGGATTTGAACTCTGGTCCTACTACTTATCAGCATAGTGACTTGGACCCAACATTCAACATCTTGGAACCTGTTCCTTGAAATGTGGGGAGAATAATGATATCTTCTTCATAGATATATATAGAGAGTTCAATCAGAAATAGTATGTGACCAGCATGATGTTTGATTCAAGGCAAATGCTAGTTATTGTTAGTCTATGGTTTTATTATTCAGAAGGATGGGTAGGGTTTTCAGAATACTTTTTTTTTAGTTTTTGTCTGTACTGGGGTTTGAACTCAGGGTTTTGTACTTCCTAGGTACAAGCTCTACCACTTGAGCCACATCTCCAGACCATTATTTTGCTTTTTAAAGAAGGTTCCATGCATTAGCAATTATTAAATTGAGCATCATTCTCACTCTCTCTCTAGAGATGATGACCCACTTTCAGTCTATAGAAAGTGTATTCCTTTTCTAATAAACTTTACTATCACTTTCACTACAAAAATTTAAGTAGGTCATTTGGCTTGTCACTTCAATTTTACAAATATTTGTTTTTGTTGATTGTCTTCCATGTATGTACCATGTTCTAGAAAGTATTGGCCACACAAGAGAGCTATATATCATGGTACCTGCTCTCAAATAGTAGCAAGAGGAAAGCAGGACCACAGGATCAAAGCAGAACACAGGGAAGGTAGACATAGCCTCACTTCTTTTATTTGTTCACAGAAAGAACAGGTGAGGGCTCCTGTCTCATTCTTGCCTGGGACTAAGCCTTCCTTACTGGGAGGCTATGCCTGGGACAGCTAGGCTAGTCCTCAGTCTTATGGGCTTAATAAACACACCAGAAAATTGGGAGTTTAAAAAAGTAGAACAGTGTTCAAGGCTATAATCAAGATCTTCAAGAGACAGAAAGACAGGCAGTGTGAGGGTGGAAACAGAATCAAGTGGCAGTGAGGAGGACAGCTTGGTGGTGTGGATGGAGGTGTGTAGGGAGTTGTGGTGGCCTGCCTTGGACAGGGTATAGCCAGGCTTGCAGAGGACCTCAGATGCTGGTCTGAGAAGTTTGATTGAGTCCCTCTTCTTTATAGCTGGTTCTTACCTTCTCTTCCATGTCTGTTTTAGTCACAAGAACCTCTTCAGCAAAGCCCACCTCCCTCTCTCGCTTGATACCCCGGCCATCTTTATCAAAGACCTTCCAGGTAAACAGGCAGCCATCCTCAGCAACAGTCAGCAGGAACTGGTCATCAAAGGTGAGCAACATCTGCAGGGAAAAACAGCATGGAGAGGAAACTTTCTGGGACCATGGTTAACCAGGGCTGAGCTGGCCACTGTGCGAGGTTTCCGTCCATGCAACCCTGCTCTTGTTCCCACCTCCCTGGGTCCTTGTGCTCTAGATTAGAAGAATCAGACAGAAGCACCTTGGCACAGAAACAAATCCCTTCGTTATTACCCTTGACTATAAGGGAGCCAACATGTAGAAAAAAATCCCAAGCTTACTCAAAGCAAAGGACAAAAGTATATAGCTTTCATACCATTTATGGGGTAACCATGGACTTGGTTTCCCTCCCTCCTCCCTCCTTCCCTCCCATCCTTTATTTTTCTTTTTTGACAGTATTGGGGATTGAACTCAGGGACCTTGAGCTTGCTAGGCAAGTGCTCTACTACCTGAACCACACCCCCTGTCCTTTTGCTTTGTAAGTTTGGCTTTGAGATAGGTTCTCATACTTTTGTCCAGGACCAGCCTAGGACTGCAACCCTCCTACCTCCACCTCCAAAGTAGCTAGAATTACAGCTCTGAATCACTATGCCCGGCTTCTGGTTTCTTGATGTTATTACATGTAGAGGTGGAGGTTTAGTAAAGTGTGCATCAAGCCTCTTCATGCCATGTATGTCTCATTACCTTTTTTTTTTTTTTTGTCGGTACTGAGGCTTGAACTCAGGGCCTACACCTTGAGCCACTCCACCAACCCTTTTTTGTGAAGGGTTTTTCACAAAACTATTTGCCTAGGCTGGCTTTAAACCGCAATCCTCCTGATCTCTGCTTCCTGAGTAGCTAGGATTACAGGCTTGAGCCACCAGCACCCAGCTTTCATTACCATCTTAAGTCCCTGCCTTGGGGTGTGATTTTTACTATGTTAATAAAGTAAAGGTAACTGTAAGTTACTTTAGTGATTACTTCGTGGATGCATTTGTCCATCACAAACTGGAATTTGCCCTTTATCATCTGGGACTGTCCTAAATTGGGTTGTGGAGTAGGGAGAATCACTCCCCTGCCTCAGTGGGTTTGATTTTAATGATCTTGTTTTTCTTGGTTCTGGCTTCTTGGTATCTCTGCTGACCACATAGTCTTTGAAGGCTGAGCTGACTTTTCCTGTTTCCTGGTGTGCTACCTTCACTTTATAACCTTGAAGACTGTCTACTTTTTTTAACTCCCAACTTTCTGGTGTGTTTGTTAACACACCATAAGACTGAGGGGTAGTCTAGTTGTCTCAGGCATAGCCTAACAATGAGGTAGGCAAAAACAAGACAAGAGTCCTTATCTGTTCATTCTGAGAACAAATAAAAGAAATGAAGCTATGTCTACCTTCCCTTTGGATTTGAAATATTCAGTCAACTATGAGCTGGGAGTAGTGGCAGACTCCTGTAAATGCCAACATTTGGGAGACTGAGGCAAGAGGATCTTGATTTTTAGGGTCTTGTCCAGCACGTGCAAGACCCTAAGTTCAAACTCCAATACCACTACCACCAAAAAAAAAAAAAAAAGAAGAAGCATCAACTGTGACCTAGAATGTATAACTCAACAGTAAGAAACCCCTATCAATCCAAAGTGGTCAAAAGATACGAAGACATTTCACTGAAGAAGATATACAGATGGCAAGTATGCACACTAAAGACGTTCAACACTATCAGCTATTAGGAAAATGTAAAGAAAGACCATGATGAGAAATTGAGAAATCACTATGCACCCGTAAGAACAGCTGAAATACAAAATAGCGACAATACCAGGTGTTGACAATGATTAGAGAAACTGGGTCTTTCACACATTGCTGGTGGAAATGTAACATAGGTCAGCCACTCTGGAGAATAGCTTGGCAATTTCTTAGATAACAGAACATTTTCTTACCATATGATTCAGCAACTGTACTCCTGGGCACTTGTCCCAGAGAAATGCAAAATTTCATCCAAGTGAAAACCTGTACATAATTGTTTGTAGTGGCTTTATTTGTAATAGCCAAAAACTGGGAAAACCAAAATACTCTACAATAGGTAGGTGGCTAAACAACATGCGATTTGTTTACCATGGAATACTGTGGGAAACTACTCAGCAGTAAGAGGAACAGACTATGAATAAGCCAAACAACTTGGATAGATGTGAGGAAAATTACACCCGGTGAGAAAAGCCTCCCTCAGATGGTCACATACTACATGACTCCACTTACATAAAAATCTCAAAACGACAACATTACAAAGAGGGAGAACAAATGAATGCTGGCAAGGGCTCCTGGATGGTTAGTGGGCAGGTGTGACTATAAAGGACATCATGATGTGGGCCTTGGTGGTGATGGAATGGGTCTGTATCCTGATTGCGGTGGTGGTCACACAAACAAACTATGCATGTGATAAGATGACTGGTTTACACACATGCAGCATAACGATGTCAGTTTCCTGGTTTACTATTGTAGTAGAGTTAAATAAGATGTAATTATTGGAGGAAACTGGGTGAAAGGAACTCTGTGCTATCTTTAAAATTTCCTGTGACCTTAATTATTTCAGAATAATAAAAAGTTAAGACGAAAGAGCTAACTATGAAAAATGTCTTCTCACAATCATTACCATTGCCAAAAGCTTAAAAAATGGTAGTGCTCTTTCATTTGAGAGTTCCATGTCTGTTCAGGAATTTAACTTAGGAAATAATCAGAGATGCATAAGCAAATGTGCAAACTCATCTATTACAGCTCATAAGATAATTTAAATGCCCAGTTGGAAGAGAAGAATTAATAAGCTATGTTCTACCATATGAGAGGATAGTTAGCTACTAAAATCATGCTTTTGAGGAATATTTAATTATATGGAACAAGTCTTAACAATTCTGTTAAATTTTTATGAAGCAGGTCACAAAAAGTGGCCATATAGTATGATGTTAATTTTATTCAAAAACATATGATATATATGAAAGGGTGTGTGGAAATGTATCAGAATATCAATGCTAATGCCTCTAAGAGGATTTTCACTCCTAAACTAAACATGCATTGCTTCTATAATAAACGTGCTCTTATTCGCGAAACCTATAAGATAGCTCTGAAGGGAAGACAGGGAATATATTGCAGTAATTTATTTTGAACCTAAGGCTCAGGCTTAGTAGAGGAATATTTCATTTTATAATGAAGAATCTTATCTTGATAAGGGTAATGCCAACAGGTAAGCCAAGATAGTCTGGAACATAATTAAAAACCTCAGGTGTCTGTCATTCAATCTGAAACAAGAAAAGGGGGATGGTGATGGAGAGGAGACATACATTTTCATAGTGCCCGTTTTTCTGTGTAAACACAGACATGACATTTTTTTTTTACTATGAATAATCTTTATTTTGCTATTTGCTATGATTCCATGGCAACCATTTTTCATGCTAGAGAATTATTCTTGTGACAAAATATATATAATGCAAAATTTACCATCTTAACCACTTTTGGTGTGCAGTTCAGTGTTATTAAATGAATTTGTAATGTTGTATAACCATCATCACCATTCATCTTCCATAACTCTTTGTCTTATAAAGCCAAAGCTTTCTACCCATATTAAACAATAATTGCCATTACTCCCTCCCCAGCACATGGCAACTGTAGTTCTACTTTCTGCTCTGTGATTTTTGAGTTCTTCAGCATCTTGTAAAAGTGGAATTACAATGTATTTGCCTTTTTATGATTGGCTTCTTTCATTTAGCATAATGTTCTCAAAGTTCACCCATGTTGTAGTGTATTTCAGAATTTCCTTCTTTTCGTAAGACTGAACACTATTCCACTGTATGTACATACCACATCTTATTTATTCTTCATCTGTCAATGGACACTTGAAATGTTTTCACATTTTAGTTACTGAACATAGATACTACTTTATGAGAAGAGGGAACGTGAGGACAATTTACAAATGTGTGCTTATTTTCTTTTCTTTTACATCCTCAGGGAGTGGTAGGGGTTAATTTCTTGGGCTATGACTCCTTTTTGGCATAATATTGTGGTGAACAACCTTCTACATACATCTTTGGATGTATCTTTGGTTACTTCCTAGGATAAATTTCTAGAAGTAGTTTAAACAAAGGGTACTAAAAGTCAACAGATTCTTGATGAGTGGTTGGTAGATGAATAAACAAGGAGCGAGAAAAGACACTAAGAGGTTGGAGGGATGAAAACGTATGTCAGGCAGGACCTATGGACTGGTCTCTTGAGGGGAGAGTGCCTCTCACCTTGGTGATGGGACCAGCATGAGCCTGATACTCATTGAATTCTTTCTGCACAGGCAGAGGGTACTTCATGGCACGAATGGTTCCCACGGAGGTGCCCACAAACATCATGCGCCCAGAATGTGAGATAACAATCGCTGTGTAGATGACATCAAATGCTGGCATCTCTCGAAGGACCTGGAACACAGACAGCTCCATTCAGGTTGAGGATCTGAGCTATGTCTGAGTTACAGTCCTGACATCGTTTGCTTCCTCTCCCTCAACAGAATCCTTAGGAGTCTATATTTTAATCCGTGTTTTTTCTATTCCTTATAGTATTCGACATACCATAAAAGACACAAACTAAGTAATTCTTAGTTGCTTGATGGACAAAAACTAGTTGTAGGAATTAGGAATAATACTAATGACTAGAAATCTTTATATAGCATTTACTATGTTATGTGAAACACTGTTCTATACCCATTACCTATTGCAACTCATTCAGTCTTCACAAGAACCTTCACGTGACATTATAGTTATGTCAGTCTTAAAGATGAGGAGACAGGTGAGCTACAAAGATGGAAAGTAACTTGCTTCAACCCCTAAACCTGTTGAGTGTCAGTATCTAGATACAATTCTTGACTGATAAGCTGCCATGCATCTCAAAGTGAGAATGGGAAGGCTGATCATGAATTTACTCAGAAACATTTATTAGTGTTTACTATATAAACAAAACTCTACTACTAGGGAACTCATTCATTCCTTCACTCATGAATGCACTCATTCAGCCACCCACGCCACATTTACTGAAGGTTGTGGGTCAGGCAGTGTGCCAGTTAGGAGGGATGTCAGGAGTAAAACAAAGTCCTTCCCTAAAGGAACATTATTCTGGCCCAGCTTTGTAAAAGCTACTAGGGAATTAGGATCTGGCTTCCTGGCGGGTCTGAGGAGAGTTACCATGCTCTAAGTTGTGTTCTAACCATGGGGAACCTGCCTCAGGCCATTTGTTGCTGTGGTAGCCGTGAGCTTCCCCAGGCACCAGTCCATGAAAGGAGCTAAGGAAATCTAGAGAAGCCAGAGATCAGCTGTTGCAGGGATTCTGGAGAAGGACACAAGCCACATTTTTATGAAGTGTCCTTGCTGAACTCTTCTCTTAACTATGCAGAGCCAAATGTAGTAATTCTAAAATTTCAGAGGCTAGAGATTTTGAAAGGATCCACTGACAAGTCCAACTAACTATAGTTGTGTTTTTACTCCAGCTATGTGCAAATCAAGGGCAAGAGTGCAGTTTAGAGATGCTGTTGACCTCTATCCCTGAAAGGCAGGAGAGAAGTTACAGATGGCAAATAAAATGGAAAGAGAAAGGGGCCCCACAGTTTAATCCAGGCAGAAAGGCACTGGGCAGTTAGTTCAGGAAATGAGGAGAACTAAGCTGATGCAACAGGAAGAGTAGCCAGATGTTATGCCATGAAGAAGAGGCCCCTCTTTGCATATTTTCTGCTGTAAGCATGGGAAACTGTGCTCTGCAGATCCAAGCAGCAGCCCAGAGGCAGGGCACTTATAGACTCACTGAAGAATCTGCAATCTCCTTGAGGGTCTGGTCTGATCCAACAGCAAAGATAATTTTGGCATCAGGGGAGATGGTAACAGAGTTGTAGCTGCAGGACTTGAGCACACATTCTGTCTCTCTCTTTCCTGTGGACAGATTCCACTCGTACACAGCACCATCTGTGCCAGCAGAAATCAGTTTGCTGTCATCTGCATTCCACACAACTGAACGAATCTACAGAGGATGAAGACATAGCCAGGTAAGAGTTATTCACACCTAAACATAGGAAAGGAATGAATGTTCAAGAGCCCCCTAGACTGAAGGAGAATGACCCTTACTGTGCCTGTCTCCAAGCTCAAAACATGGCTTCTTGGAAATGTTAACATTCTGTTTTCTAAGATGCTTGCAAAATACGGAAAACAAAATGATCTCATGTTTTCACTTTATGAATGTAAAGACTGAATCATATTAAATATTGTAACCAATTATTGCTATCTTTTTGAAAACTTTTAAATTTTGAAATAAATATTCACAGCAAGTTGCAAGCACAGCTCAAAGAGAATGGACTTCCAGAATGCCAGAGTGAGGGCATCAGATGACCTCCCCAGTGAAGTAAGTTAACTGGTAAAAATGATCAAAGCAATCATTCAAGCTTCTGGGAGCTGGAAGGCTGTGTGCATGTGGCAGGTTGTACCCACACAGCAGCAATCAGACAGGATGTGGGAAAACATGACAGCATCTCCGAAGCTACTTGAAGACCCATTGACTTGGGTGGAAACCTCACTGGCACAAGGAGATTACACATCAGCTGACCAAGCATGGAACAATAAGCTCCTTCAACTAAGGGGCATCTCCTCGGGTTAAAAATCAAATCACTCATTCCTGCAGATAGAAGTCTATCTGCATTAGTGTACCTGACTAATGCTGTATCTCTCAGGTAGAATCAGAGAGGCTCATCCAAACTATCAATCTCTGCTGAACATGGAGCATAAGCATAAACTCCTTGAACTGTGAGAGCAGCTTCTAAGTCTCATGCAAATCCAACACTAAAGGGAAAAGTCTAATAAGCACCTTAGGCCACCCAGAGACAAACTCTAGGCAGCCAGGCTTAAAAAAAAAATCTAAGCAAGGATATCAGACACTGAACACTACAGGGGAAAAAGACTTCACAGAATTAGTTCAGCCAAATCATTAAACAAATAACTGACTATATAACTACATGACTAACCATCACCAACTCACTGGAGCCACTATTGCTACAATATATTACCTAAAACATTCAGTCAATAAAAAATTATGTAACCTGCAACAACAAACAAAAACAAAAAATCTCAACAGAGAGTATGACCAAAAAGAAAAAGAAAGGACAAAAAAAAAAAAAAGATAACAAGGAAAAGAAACTGTCTCTGCAGGGGCCAGATGGTGTGGACTTTGCAGACAAAGGTTTCAAAGCAGCTAATATAAATATGGTAAGTGAACTAAAAGAAACAATGCTTAAGTAATTAAGAGAAGGCATGATTATAAGACTCATCAAGTAGAAAATATCAATAAGGAGACAAATTTTGTAAAAAATCTAATGGAAATTCTGGAGTTGAAAAGTACTATAACCAAAATGAAAAATTCCCCAAAGGGGCTCAACAGTAGATTTGAGCTAGTGAACTTGAAGATAAAAAATTTCAGAAAACTTAACACAGACCCAGAGAAACGTGGGAAGCCATTAAATTTATCAACATAGGTATAATGGGAATACCAGACAAAGAGAAAAAGGAAAGAGCCAGAAAAACTACACAAATAATTATTTAATGCTAAGAATACCCCAAATTTGTTGAAAAACATTAAGCTATACATTAAGAAATGCAATACACCCCAAGTAGAATGCATAGAAATCTACATCCAGATACACCACAGATAAAATATTGAAAGCCAAAGAAAATCTTAGAGAAAAACAATTCATCACATACAAGTGAACCCCAGTAAGATTAACATCTGACTTCTCATCAGAAACAAAGACAGCCAGAAGGCAGTGGGAAACAGGGAAAGTATTGAAAGTGAAAAAATCTGTGTCTAGAAAAGCTGTATTTCTATATTTTAAACATGAAGGGAAAATAAAGATAATGTCAGAGAAACAAAAACTGATAAAATTAATTGCTTGTAGACCTACTTTGGAGAAATACTAAAGGAAGTCCTTTAGGGTGAAAGCAGGAAGTCTCTTTTGTTTGATATGAGTTCAAATCAAACAAAACAAAACAGGTAATTTTGTAAGTGATCAAGAGACAGAGAGCTGGTGGAGTGACTCAAGTGGTGGAGAGCCTGCCTAGCAAGTGTAAGGCCCTGAGTTCAAATACTAGTGCTGCTAAAATAAAACAAAACAAGAGACAGTATAACTGCGTATTATGCTAAAGAATAAACTCTAAACTATAAAAAGCACCTGCATTAAGAAGGTTCATATAAAAAAACCTTACAAATATATACTTGCTCTCAGTTTTCTCAGCTTCTTTAAAAGACATATGAGGTTATATAATGTAATAATTAACACAATGTATTGTTGGGTTTGTAACTTAAATAATGTGAATTCTGATAACACAACGAAGGGCAGAACTGGATGGACCTATGTACAAGTAAAGTTTCTGTATTTCATGAGAGAGAACTCAGATAATATTTGAAGTATTTTAAAGTTGTTTTTGCTTTTTTCTATTTTTTCTTTTATATTAGCATACCTAAGCTGTATGGGAGGTTTCATTGTGACATTTACATATGTACTTACAATGTATCTTAATTAGATTCATCCCTTCCATCATTCTTCCATTCCTTTTCCCCAGCCCCTTAGAACAGTTTCAACAGGTTTCATTGTTCTATTTTACATTGGCTATATTCACCCTCCTTTACTCTCTCCATTTACCCTCCCCCTCCCACTCATACCCTCCCCCAGACAGGACCTGTTTTATCTTCCTGTCTTTCATTTTGTAAAGTGTGTGTTTAAAGGGGGTTTTGCCTTGGTATTTCACATGTGTATATATACTTTAATCGGATCAACCCCTCTATTACTTATTCTTTCTCTATCGCCCTGCTCCCCTATTATTCAACAGCTTTCAGTACATTTCATTGTATTATCTTCATACACATATACAACGTGTTTTAATATTATTCACTCTCTATCATTCTCTTTTCCTCTCTTGCCTCCCTATAGTCTCCTTGGACAGACCTACTATTATAATCATATTCTCTCTTTCTCTCTCTCTCTCTGTTCACACACATATATGTATATGTAGTATAAAAGATCACATATGTATTTATGTATATAATTATCTTTTAGGTCTAGCTTCTACATATGAGGGAAAACGTACCACCTTTGTCCTTCTGAGCCTGGTTTATTTTGCTTAACATATGCTCTCCAGTTCCATTCATTTACCTACATACAACATTATTTCATTCTTTATGGCTGAGTACTACCCATTGTGTACATATACACATTTTCTTAATATGTTCATCAGTCATAGGGGAATCTGGGCTGTTACTAAAGATTATCTATTGTGCATAGTGCTGCAATAAGCATGGGTGTGCAGGTGGCTCTATTCTGACTTATAGACCTTCAGGTATATGCCCAGGAGAGGTATCACTGGATCATACGGTAGGGATATTTTTAGTTTTCTGAGGAACCTCCATAGTGCTTTCCATAGCAGTTGCACTAATTTACATTCCCACCAACAGTAAATAAGGATTCCGTTTTCCCTGCACCCACACCAGCATTTGTTGTTGTTTATGTTATTGATGATAATCATTCTTACAGAGTGAGGTGAAATCTCAATGTCATTTTGATTTGTATTTCCTTTATGGCCAAGGATATTGAGTGTTTCTTCATATATTTATTGACCTTTTGTATTTCTTCTTTTGAGAATTGTCTGCTTAGTTCATTTGCCCACTTATTCAATGGGTAATTGATTTTTTGTGGGGTTAGGTTTTTTTTTTTAGCTCCTTGTATATTCTGGTTATTAATATCCCTTCCCACATGTAGTGCCGGCAAAAATTTTCTCCCATTCCACAGGCTATCTCTTCAGTCTAGCAACTATATCCTTTGCTGTTCAGAAGCTTTTTAGTTTCATGAGGTCCCATTTCTCAATCCTTTCTCTTAATTGCTGAGCTATTGGAGTTCTATTCAGACAAGATCAGGCACATTCAGGGTGGTATGTCTGTAGACTGGAGTTCTTATTCAGGAGGTTACCTAAATGTTCCAGTGTTTTCTGTATGCTTTCCTGTAGTAGTTTCACAGTTTCAGTTCTTACATTAAGATCTTTGATCCATTGTGAATTAGTATGAGTACAAGGTGAGAGACTAGGATCTAATTTCAATCTTCATTTGATCTAGTTTTTCCAGCATCATTTGAAGAGGTATCTTTTCTTCAAAGCATGTTTTGGGCTCTTTTGTCGAAAATCAAAATTTGTAGCTGTGTGGGTTTATGTCTTGGTCTTCTATTCTGACCCACTGGTCTTCATGACTGTTTTTGTGCCATGCTGTTTTTATTACTATGGTGCTGTAGTATAGTTTGAAGTCAGGTATTGTGATACCTTCAGCATTGCTCTCTTTGCTTTGCTTTGGTTATTTGAGGTGTTTTGTGCTTCCATATGAACTTTAGGATTGATTTTCTATCTCTGTGAAGAATATCATTGGAATTTTGATAGGGATTGCATTGAACATATAGGTTGCTTTTGATAGTATAGTCATTTTCACAATATCGATTCTGCCCATCTATGAACATGGGATGTCCTTCCATCTTCTAATGTCCTCTGTTAAATTTATTCCTGGGTATTTTAATTTTTGATGCTATTGTGAGTGGTATTGTTTTCCTGATTTCTTTCTCAGTCTGTTAATTGTTGGTGTATAGAAATGCTATTGGTTTGTGTATTGATTTTGTATCCTGCTACTTTGCTGAATGTGCTATGAGATCTAAGAGTTTTTTTGGTGGCATTTGTAGGGTCTTTCAGGATATATTATATCATCTGCAAATAAGGATAATTTGACTGCTTCCTTCCCTATATGAATCCCTTTCTTGTCTTATTGCTCTGACTGGGAATTTCAGTACTGTATTGAATAAGAGCAGGTAGAGTGGACAAACTTGTCTCATTTCTAATTTTAGAGGAAATGGTTTCAGCTTTTCTCCATTTAGTCTGATATTGGCTATGGGTCTGTCATATGTAGCCTTTATAGTGTTGAGGTACGTGCCTTCTATTCCTAGTTTCTTCAAAGCTTTTTATCATGAAAGGATGTTGAATTTTGTTGAAGGCTTTTTTCTGCATCTATTGAAATGATGATGTAGTTTTTGTCCTTGGTTCTGGTTATGAGTTGTGTTATATTTATTGATTCACATGTGCACAACATATCCTTGCATCCTTAGGATGAAACCTAGTTGATCATGGTGTATGATCTTTTTAATGTGTTGTTGGATATAGTTAGCAAATATTTTATTGAGAATTTTTGTGTCTATGTTTATCACGGATATTGGTCTATAACTTTCTTTTTTTGATGTGTCTTTACCTGGTTTTGGTATTAGGGTAATCCTGGCTTTGTAGAATGAGTTTGGTAGTATTTCTTCTCTTTGTATTTTATGGACTAGTTTGAGGCACATTGGCGTTAGTTCTTTATAGGTCTGGTAGAATTCAGCAGTGAATCCTCCTGGGCCTGGGCTTTTCTTTGTTGGGAGGTTCTTTATAACAAGTAATGAGTTTCATTGCTTGTTATAGATCTGTTTAAGCTATTTATGTCCTCTTGGTTTAATTGTGGTGAGTCATATGTATCAAGAAATTTATCTATTTCTTCTTGATTTTCCAGTTTGCTGGATATAGGTTTTCTTTTTCTTTTTCTTTTTTTTTTTTTTTTGGTGCTGGGGATTGAACTCAGGACATTTTTAGTATTGACTTCTTTCCTGATCTCTGCACATACATATATACTTCTTGGGCACATCAAACATAACATGTCCAACATGGAACTTCATATCTTTGTTTTCTCTGTCTCCTCTATTAAAGTCATGTTTTTAGTCCCTAATCACTTTAACTCTCACTCTCCAGCTTCCTTCCCTCTAATCATCTTCAATACTGTTCAGAGAACTACCTTTCTAGTCTCATGACTTCCTTTCTTTTATCTTTCAGTTGTTTGTCCTCACCTACCTTCTAAAGTCCGATTCCTTGGCATGATGTACACTGGCTTCTATGAGGTAACAAAACCCTACAGCTCCCTCCCCTTACTTTTTAAAAACAATTCTCAAACATGCCCAATGTTCTAGTCATCAAAACCACAAAGTATCATCCTATTTCTTACTTCTGTTCCATCCTTCTGCCTAGAATGCCCTTCTCTTTCAATTGCCTCTTCTTTCCAAATTCATCTACTGATTTCTTCTTACCTTCTTAATCTTTGGTTTCTTCTTTTACATGCCTCACATTTAATCTAATCCAGGATTTACTGATTTTTAATTCTAAGCATCTTTTGAATCCATCCAACTCTGCCTAACTATGCTACAACCACCATGGTCCAAAATACTATCATTTTCATGTAGACATCCACAACAGCCTCCTTAGCTTCTCCATCCTTGTCTTCTTCAATATATTCTTCACTCTGCAACTGAGGTAATCTTTTAAAATGAAAATATGGTTATATCATTTCTTTCCTTGGAAGTATTCAATGAGTTTAAGGAACAATGAAGACAAAGTAAAAAAAAATCCTTACAAGGCCTACAAAGTTCCATGCATTTGTGTCCCTGTATACCCCTCCAATCTCAGCTCACCCCGTGCTTTATCCTGATACCTATGTTCCCCACAGATTCTTCAGCTCCTCTGAAATGTCCTGAAATCGCCCATCTCTGGATTTTTGTATCTTATCTACAATGATTACCACCACCAGCTTTGTCTGCTTAATTCCTACTCACTCCTTCTGGACTAAGCCTTAGCAAACACCCCAACCTAAATTATGCCTACCTCTTCATTATTTCCTTTCACAGTCAGTGCATTTGTTTTATTGTTTCTTCCCCCAGGTGGGTAGTGAGCACCATGAAGAAAGGAATTGATTCTTTGATCACGTGTACCCATTGGCTAGCAGTGTGTGTGACCGGATGCCATTCACTCACATACCTTCCCTGTGTGTCCTTTCAGGTTTGTGATGTTCTCCAAGCTCGTAGTGGTAAAAATGTGAATTACATTTCCACTGACTGCAGCAAACAGGTGACCTCCATTGCTAAAGGCACACTACAGGGAAACACAGCGGGAGCAAGCAAGAGAGATGAGCAGTCTAACCACAGGCTGCAGTCAAGAGCTGCTTTCCAGGAAGAGTTCAGGTGGGAACCACATGTAAAGCTGGGAGTGGGTGAAGGTGTAATAGCATTGAGATTTGCTGATGTTTTCAGACAGTGTCACCATCCTGTAGCTCATACCAGCCAAGATGCTGACCCTGCCATGACCACTGGTCATTGCACTGCTTCAACAACAGAGCCTCATTGTGTCTGCAGATGCACCAGTTCAGAGGGGGGAGGTGATCCCAGAAATCAGTATCTCATTTCTATAAGTCCTCTGGGGGTGGGTGGGATCTGATGGGCCATCTACTACCTCTTACTATTAATGCTTAGTTTCCCTGACTCCTTTCACTCTCCATTCTCCCAAACCCAGCTGGGACTATCATTCTGAGATCACTTTTCTTCTTCAATATTTGTTAAGACTCCCTGATGATACAGCAGACCTATCTCAGGTAGGATCTCACAGGCTTTTAGGTTCAGTGAAATAGTTTGGTGGGCATAAGGAAAACAGTGATAGAACCTTATACTCTAGGAGTTCAGAGGCAGAAGTATTAGATTTTTTTTTGAAGCCACTATAGTTCTGTTAGACAGGCTTTGGTCCCACCTCCCCAGTGTATGCTAGTTCTTGATATTTCAATCCTGGCTTTTCAAGAAACTGGAACTTTTTCTGCAACAGGTTTTACCTCTCTGCATCCTCTGACAGAGTATTCTTTGAAAGAACGTATATCATCAATGAGCAGATTCATAAGGCGGAGCTTATTAGCAAACCCTACTACAATGAAGTGTCCAGATGGGTGAAGGCTGATTGTATACGCCTCTTCTTGGTATTCTTTAAACAATTCCAGAGTGCTGTGAAAAAAATCAGTTATTGAATTAGAAACTGAGTCCCTAAGTCACTCAAACCCTCCAGTGTATCTGGTATATATTGTTATCACAGCATTTAATATACTTTATTACTCATAATTATTGGATCCTCTCTTCTAGATTTTAGTTATTTGAAGATAATGTCCAGCACTGAGTATGACCAATAGGAAAACTGGTCAAGACATTGTCTAAGGATACTGAAGACGCAGCTCTGCTGAGATTTCAAGAATTATGAGTAGTGAACAAGTTTATTTGTTTTATTTTGTTTTTGTCTTTGTTCTTCCCCAGCAGTACCAACAGCTGTATATAAGAGCAAAGAAAATAGTCTGTGTCCAATCTAAGGTTGGAGATTTTCAGGGAAGCTATTCAAAGGATATACAATTGCTAGGGAGTTGAGGTGGTTGGGGCAGTAATGAGTAGAAAGAGGAGGGGTAAAGAGTCTGGAGAGTTCCATGAAGCAAAATGCAGATCTGGAGAAAGGGGAGAGAGGAGCTGGAGGGACAGTGGAATTTGTGTAAGAAGGTGAGATATTGGGGTATTACCTCTATGTTCCTAAGGTCTAGCATAGTGTCTGGCAAGCAGCAAGCATTTGATAAACCACAAAATAATTCACTAGCTCAGGCAAGAATGAGAAAAATGCAGGTTGACCAACTTGATTTTAAGAAAAAAGAATTTCCCAATGGAAAGCATTAAAGAAATTAAATTGTAAAACTCTTTAATTAAAACAATTTGCATAAACAAATTTAACAACTGAAATCCTGCATACTATAGCAACAAAGCCTTTCATTCCTTACTTTGATTCATAATTCCAGATGCGAACCGATCGATCCAGAGAACAGGTGGCAATGAGGGGTTTGCGGATGCAGGTGGACAGACCAGTGATGGATGCTGAGTGTAATGGGTACATCAGATACTCAAAGTGAGCAGGCTCCCCCTGGAGAAATCATTACAGAATGAGATCCAGCAGGGTGAGCAAAAGGCTGGCTATGTACTTCAGCTCTAATTAGTACCTGGGAGCATTAATTAGCTGGTGTGCATGGAAATTAGGCTATAGCAAATTGTTTTAATGTTACACAGATTTTCCTCTGGCACTGTCATTTAAAAACATTATTTTAATGGCAATAAGCTATTTTGTTCTTTGAGTATCCTAGAATTTAATTTAACCATTCCTGTATTGTGGGGACATTTAAGTGATTTCCAACTTCTGTTATTTAGAAATGACACTAGACTAAATATTCTTACATATACATCTTTCTTCGTGTATCTCTCTGATTACTTCCTTAAGATACATTTCTAGAAGTGGAATACTGGGTAAAACAGTATGTATGATTTTAAACATCTTCATAATTAATGTCAAATTTCTTTCCAAGAAAACTATTCTAGTTATTTTACAACCAGTAGCAAGTGAGAGTTGGTGAATGATTTTAAATTGAAATGAACCCTATTGTACTGAGCATACAGGTGTTCCAGGTGTCTGTCATCAGAGACATTAGCCCTGAGACATCTAAATGAGGAGTGAGGGTTGGGAAATTTAATGAAGTGTACACTTTTTAGTGTACAAGCCAAGACAAAGTCTGAGATCGGTCTGCTCTCAAATTCTGGTCCTCTTCTACTTACAAACTTCTAAGTCCATAAGAAATTCCTTTCTTTACTCTCAGAGAGAGAGGCAGTGTGTTGGGTTGGGAGGCAGGCATAGACTATTTCATTCTTTTCCATCTGTTACTCCTTCTTTCTCCAATATTTTTGACATCCTTTTTTCTACTATTAGTTCATAGCTTATTTCTATTAATTAGTTTGAGAGAGAGAGAGAGAGAGAGAGAGTGTGTGAAGGAGCCAGGAGAAGGTAGTGCATCTATTAGAGACAGACACAGTGACCCTGACTGGATAGATCAGATGGTCACTGAGAGTTACAGGAACTATCATCGGAGATAAAGCACAAGTGGTAGAAACACAATAGAATGATGCATAAAGGCAAGAGTGTAATTTACACTAACTCTCCCCAAAGTACCAGCACCTCTCCACAGACCTCACTGTGCTAAAGGGCATCAGAGATGTTCCCACCAAGAAGTCAGCACAAGTCAAAGAAGCAATCAAAGAAATGGGCTGGAGAATGCAGTTGCTTGAGATGAAAAATTGAAGTCATCACCAGGTTTCCAAACAGAGCCAGCACAGGTCCAAAGCCAAGCACTGGGTACAGAATCACCTGTCACCCAGGCAAGTAGGGAGTTTTGACACAGAATCTAGCAACATATATACCATATCCAAGTGGATTTTTTCCTAGAAATGCAAAGGAGGTTTACATCTGAAAATCAATTAATATAATACCCTATTTAATAGAATAAACCCCCACATGCTTATTTCAATAAACACAGAAAAAACATTTGAAAAATATCCAACACCTTTCAGATAAAAACACTCAACAACCAAGGAATAGCAGGGAACTTTTTCAGTCTGATAAAAGATATCCTCAAAACACCTCCAGATAATATCACTCCTTCCCTCTAAGATCAGGAACAATACAAGGATGTCTGCACTCACCACTTCTAACATGGAGAGTTCACACAGTCCTAGGGGTTCTAGCCATGGCAATTAGATAAGGAAAATAAAGAAAAGGCATCCAGGTGGCAAAGGAAGAAGACATGACCTTGCATATGGAAAGTCCTAAGGAATCCACTTAAAAAATTACTGACACTAACAAGTGAGTTTAGTAAGTTTGCAGAATAAAGACCGGTATGCAAAAATTAACTGCATTTTATACTCTTGGAATGAATGATTCAAAAATAAAATATAATCCTACTTACAATAGCATCAAAAAGAATAAAATATTAGCCGGGCATAGTGGTGCATATCTGTAGTTCTAGCAACTCAGGAGGCTGAGGTGAGATGATTCCTTGAGCCCATGAGTTTGAAATCAGTCTGCATAAAACAGTGAGAACCCCATGTCCAAATGAATAATTAGCAAAAGAAATGCAAAGGTTATACTCTGAAAACATTATCAAAAGAAATTAAATGAATGAGGAAAATCTCATGTTCATGAATTGCAAAACTTAATATTGTTAAGATAGCAATAGTCCCCAAATTGATCTACAGATTCAATGCAGTCCTTGTAGGATTCTAGACTTTTTCTTTGTAGAAACTGACAAGCTGATTCTAACGTTCAAAAGGCATTGTAAGGGACCCAGAATAGCCAAAATAATTTTGGAAAAGAACAAAGTTGGAGGACTTACGTCTCCTGACTTCAAAACTTACTAAAAAGCAACAGCAATCAAGCTAGTGTGGAACTGGCAGAAGAACAGATAGATCCATGGAATAGAAATGAAAGTCTAGAAATAAACCCATGGTCAACTAGTTTTTGACAAATGTGCTAAGTCATTCAATGAAAAAAGAAAAGTCTTTCAACAATTAGTGGTGGAATAACTGGATATTCACATGCAAAAGAATGAAGTTGAACCTTTACTCCATGTCATATACACAAATAAACTCAAAATAGATCAAAGACCTATATGTAAGCACTAATACAGTAAAACTCTTAAAAGAAATATAGGTGTAAAACTTCATGACCTCAGCTATGGCAATGGATTTTTAAATATTACACCAGAAAGACAACCAACAAAAAGAAAAATAGATGTCAGACTTAATCAAAATTGAAATCTTTCATGCATCAAAGGACACTATGAGGAAAGCTAAAAGATGCTGTGCAAGTGGTACATGCCTGTAATCCCAGCACTTAGGAGTGGAGGCAGGAGAATCTAGAGTTTGAGGCCAGCTTGGGATGAGGCCAGCCTATAGCAAGACCCCATCTCTCGACCACCCCTCAAAAGAAGAATGGGAAGATATCTGCCAGTTGCACATCTAAAAAGAGACTTGTATCTATAACACATAAAAAACTCTAATGACTCACTAATAAAAAGACAACACAATTTTTAAAATGGGCAAAAGATATGAATAGACATTTCTTCAAAGAAGATACACAAATGGCAAAATGCACATGAAAAGATGCTCAATGTCAAGTCATCAGGGAAATACAAACTGAAACCACGAGATGCCATTTCACATCTTCTAAGATGGTTATAATCAAAAAGTGAGATAACAACAAGTGTTGATGCAGATAAGGAGAATCAGAGCCCTCATATGCTGCTTACGAAGTGGTGCAGCCACTTTGGACAACACTCCAGCAGTTTCTCAAATGGTCAAGCATGGAGTTATCATGTGTTATCATGTGACACAGCAATTCTACTACTAGGAAGAGAAATGTCCACATAGATGCACATAAAACTGGCACAGGAATGTTTACAGCAGCAGTATTCATCACAGCCAAGAAAGTGGAGACAACCTGAATGTCCAAAACTGATGCACAGAAAAACAGACTGTGGTATATCCATGTAACAGGGCTATTACTCTGCCATAAAAACTTAAGACGTACTTACTGTGCTATGCCACAGATGACCCTTAAACACATTATGCTAAGTCTAGAAGGCTGGTCATAAAAGTCTTCATTTTCTATGATTCCTCAGATATGAAGTGTCCAGAATAAGCAAAATTACAGAGACATAAGATAGATTAGTGGTTGCTTAGAGGTAGGGAGGGGAAGGTGGGAGGAGAGAGAGACAACAGCTAAGAACATAGGCTTCTTTTGAGGTGATGAATGTGTTCTAAAATTAATTGTGGTGCTGGTTGTTCGACTTTGTGAATGCATTAAAAACTATTGCATTATACACTTTTTTTTGATGTACTGGGTTTGAACTCATGGCTTCACGTTTGCTATGCAGGCGCTCTATCACTTAAGCCACTCTGCCAGCCCTCATTGTACACTTTGATTAGGTGAACTGTACAATGAATTAACTTGATAAAACTGTTGTAAAAACATTAGTGAGAAAGATATGTTAAAATCTCCTGCAATGATTGTAGATGGGCTATTTTCCTTGTTATTTCATCAAATCTTGCTATATGTGCTTTGAATCCTGCTATTTGGTGCATATGGGTTTAAAATTTAATATCTTATTGATAAAGTGACAATGTAGACTGTTGGCTTCATCTTTCACGATGCTTCTTTGTCATAATGTCTACAGTGTATTTATGCCAGCTTTTTTTTCTTATTCCAAAACAAAACCAAAAAAACCAATAAACAGTCCTACATATACATCTTTGTCTCCAAAGAGCAAATACAGCAGTAGACTAAATTCCTTGAAGTGTAATTGCTGATAAAAGGGTATGTAGGATTTAAATTCAACAGGACAACATCAATGTGTCCTCCAAAGAGGCTGTTGCAAGTGCAGATGCCCCAAGTGTATCAGAGTGCTTCTACCCAGACAGCTTAAAAATAGTTTCTTTTGCTCAGTTATGGGGTGGTGGTGGTGAATGAACCCATACTCATGTATTTGGACGAAAATCTGCCCTCTGCTAGGCATGCAGGCCTAGTCTGGAAGGAGGTGATGTTGGGGAAGACTCACCTTGCTGATCTCTGTCAGGGACATGGTGATGCTGTAGAGTTGGTTCTTATTGGTACTGGCAATCAGGGTTTCCTCTGAGGGGCTGAAGCACAAGCATAGAACGTCCTGTTTGTCTGACTGACTTGGATCATTGCTCTGTGGGTCTATTGGAATCTGCCCAAGACACAAAACAGCTCTCAGTAATGGTCCACACTGTCAGCATGTCCTTGGGCTTTCAGTGTTCTCACAGATAATTTTTGCCTACAGACTTCCAGACCAGGATACTTCCAGCATCCTCCTCAGGTATGGAGAATGGAGGACCTGAATGCCTCTGTTTCTATGGCTTTGAAACACTACCACACATTCACACTAATCACATTAAGTGATTAGTGGCTGAATAACAAGACAGCAGTGTTTGTGGAAATTACTGATCCATACACTTCAATTTGAGATTCCTCTTAAAATGCACATTCATTTAAATCCCACTCTTGCTCACCTGCTGGAAGCCCAATGTGTGTGCTCACCTGGTACCACGCACACCACTGGAAACTTCAGGCAGCAGCGGGATATGGTAGCCCTTCCACCATATGGGGTAAGCGACAGGGCAGAGAAAAGAAGAATCACACGGCTTCTGCCAATCGTCACCGAGAGAGTCAATAGTTCCCAAGTAGACAGAATAAAATTAGATTTCATGCTCCCTGCTACTTATCTTCTATTAACAACCAGACTTTTTGAAAGGCTGGCCAACATGCAGTACCGTGCACTCAGTTTTAAATTCTTTGAAATTTGGCTTCCACTGCACCCTTCCTTGAAACTGTCCTCAGGAAAAACAGAAATCTCCTTATCACCAAAGCCAGGGGCCCCTGCTCAGTCTCATCACCTCCCAAGCTGAAATCTACCTTTAATTGCTTCATTTGATTCTGGCCTCTGCTCTGCTCAAATGTCACCTTCCTCAAAGAGCCCTCTCTGACACCCTAGAACAGAACCCCTCTGTTCCTCTTCCTGGCTTTATTTTCTTGTGTTGATCCTCCATCTGACACCCTACCCATATTTTCTCTGCCTGTTTGCTGAGCTCTAAAGGCATGCTCTTTGTATGTTGACTTCCCCACTTTATCCCCAGCTGCCATCACAGAGCCTGACACATAGTGATGGCTCAATAAATATTTGTTAAATAAATAAACCAACAAACAAAAGAGTGAATTGCTTTATGTGAAAAGTAAACTCACACTACTTCTGCCTCCTCCCCCCTCAGTCCCACCCTTTTGTTCTTTCCCTCAATTTTCCTGTCTCTGGCACTTTTTCTCAGGCATCTAACTTTAAAGCCCAGTGTCAAATCTGAGTGTTCCCTCTCTCTGACCTCCCATCTCTATTCAGACTTAACCTTCACAAAGGCTCTCTTCCTTCCTTTGCCCCTGTTACCCACTGCTCTGATCTTAGGCCTCACTACCTTTTGGGCAAAATAACAAAAAAAGCCTCTTAACTGATTCCTAATAATATCAGAGTAAGTACTACCATTCTTCAAATATCAAGCACCAACCACTGCACACAGTGACTTACACAGACTGTCATCTTTTCCTTTCAATAACTACCCCTCATGTCAATTATCATGTCATGTTCTCAATGAAGCTAACAACTCATCTCAAGTCACTCAGTCAGTAAGTGGCAGATCCAAGGCTGACTCACTCAGTGTCCAATGCCTCTAGAATCACCCCACTATATGTAACAGGCAGATTGCTTTTCTTAAGCACAACCCTTTTCCACTGAAAAACTTTGCAGGGTGCCTACTGAATTATTTCCACCCCCATCCAACTCCAGGCTAGCATTAGAGATTTTTGACAGCCTTAGCTCCCCGCTTTTCCCTTCAAGTGCCTTCAATCCCTCTCCATTGGGAACAGAACATTTTCCAAATATACATCTGCTTTCCCCCATGGTGCCTCTGCTTAAGCTGTTCCCTCTATCTGGAGTTCCTAATTTGTTTCTTCTTATCAAGCATTGTCTGTGTTCTAAGACCTGTCTTTGAAGAGTACTGTCAAGCACCAAGAAGCCTTCTGCACTCTTACCCAGCCTGATATGCCACACCTCTCTCCGCAACCCTTTGTATCATTTGTTCCATAAACATTACCAAATGCTTACTGTGTGTCAGGTAGTGTGCTTGGCATTGATATTAACATGTATCTAATAAAAGAAGTATTATGGAAACACTAAGGTTCAAAGAGGAAATGTAATTTGCCCAAGTTCTCTCCCAGGATTCAAATCCAGAACTTCTCACTTCTAAATCCCAATCCTATATACCCCATCCTAAGTCCTCCCTAAGGCCAGGTATTTCTGTCACCATTTCTGGTCAGCATTATAGTCCCATCCCTCCCCAGCAAGTGTTTGTCAGAGCACTGCTACTGAGGAATAATGCCAGTAGGTCCCAGTTCTGCTTCCTTTCTTTCCCCGCTTACCCGGATTTCCCTGCTCTCCCGGTAAAAGTCCTTATCTTCCACCTTCTCAAACAGCAGAACTCTTCCTGGCCCAGCAGAGCAGGCAAATCCCTTTGAATAGGTAGCAATGGCAAACACCTGGGGCAAGGACACTTGATGATAGTTAGTGGCTGCCACAATCTGTTCAACGGAAGGGACTGGGGAACTGGCTTGTGGAAATTCAATCAGGCTGGAAAAGGAAAAGAATACATAAGTATTTCAGAGACAAACCTAAGGAGCGGAATTATGCTTGGAAGGAGAAAGAGAGATGTGCTTGGATGTGGGAAATGACACCCATTGATCCCCTATAGCCAAATTCTGCCCTCTGACCTAGGAATGCTATCCAAACTCCAAAGAGAGAAGACTGCAAGGTTACACATTTATTTGGTAGTTCTACAACCCCATGCGGTCACCATAACAATGGTGACATAATGATGACTTCCATTTTGTTTAGAAAAAAGTGGTTTAGAGGGGTTGAGTTCTCTAAGATAACACAACTGGTAAGTGGCAGAGCTGAGATTTGAATCCTTCATTTTTATTCACTCATTTATGTAATAAAGATTTATTTGTAGTTATACTATATTAACAGCTCTGTGAAACAATGGTAAATAAGATTAACACTGTCCTTGCTCCCAAAAGCTTATAGTCTAGGGAGACATAGGCTAAGGACTCCTAGAGGGCAGCTAAGAATGCTAGGAAGAGATGATCAGTAGGTAACAAGGGCTTTCTGAAGACAGGTACAGAGGAGGTGAACAGAGGCTGAGAGCTCCCAGCCAGGACTTTGCATTTCATTGATCTGTTGCCTGCTATCAAATTTTAAGTTCCTTAAGAACCAGTGTATCTAGCTCCTAGCAAGCTGCCTGGAAAAAAACCTGCAAGGGATCAATGGACATTTATTTGATTGGTTCAATAGGCAGCCACCAGCTACTAGGAAATACAACACACACAAACACACATACACCTACACATAAATATTTGGCAGTACTGGAGTTTTAACTCTGGACTTCGCACTTGCTAAGAAGGCACTCTATGGCTTGAGCCACACCTCCAGCCCTTAGAAAATACATATTTTTTAAAAAACCTATAACTTTGGAGACTAATCATACTAAAATGTGTATAAAATGAGGTTAGGTATAAAAATAAAAAGAACTGCATGTAGGTTATGGTTACATTGGTCAAATTTGTGCTTGAATACAGATGAACACTAAAAAGGGAGAGAAAAATGAATACAGTTGTTTTTTAAGGGAGAAAAGCTATGAGTGATGTTTTTTTTTTTTTGGGTGGGCCTGGAGTTTGAACTCAGGGCTTCACACTTGAAACTAGGCACTCTACCGCTTGAGCTACACCACCAGTCCATTCTGCTCTGGTTAGTTTGGGGGATGGGTTCTTGAGACCTATTTGCCTGGGTTGGCCTCAAACTATGATCTTCCTAATCTGTTTCCCAAGTAGGTGGGATTACAGGTGTGAATTACCGGCACCCAGTTAAGAGTACACTTTGAAGAATGCTATTTCTGTATAACGTTGGTAGTATAGTGAGTGTGTGGGGAGGTCCAGAAGAGCACCATTACCTCTCTGATTCTTGTATGACCTCCAGGATTTTTGAGCCATCAGAGGGCTCCTTGACCATTATGTTTGTCTCCCAGCGTTGCTCACCAGATTCAAAGAGAAAGAGTTTGCCTGTATCAGTGCCAACAATGATCTTGTCATCAGCCATCCAGGCATGAGCTAGATAGTTTTGGGGTTCTCCTCTCTGAAAATTGGTTTGCTTTAGGGTTCCCTCAGCAAAACGGAGAAGCTTAAACATCCCATTTCCAGTGACACAAATCTGAGTGTTATCGTGGGGATTGATGGTCACCTGTAAAGTGTGAGAGAATGAAAAAAAATTCATAAAACTAATCTTGATGGAATTATTTCCTACTTTACTAATTGATACATGTCAGGTAATTCAGGATATCCCTTACATATCACTAAATCATGGAACTTTATATCACATTTGATAAGGGCACATATCTGTATCCATTACATATGCAAAATCTGTGACTCTTAGACTAAGAAATCTACTAGGGTCAAAAAACAGAATGAGCAGGTTTTGACAATAGCCAAAGTCTGTGTCATCTGGGAATACAGAGAAATGAGGGTCAGGTGGCTACACACAGCTCTGTTCAGGGGAAAGAAACCACGTGTTACAGGATGCCATGGGATCTCCTTCCAACTGAGCTTCCCAACATACACTAGTGGGCAGTCAATCTGCTGTTCTCACTAGATGGGGAGGGAGCAACTTGCGGGGCTGTGGCTTCTTCATCTCTGTGTTCCTAGTGCTAGGTTCATAGTAGGCATCCAACAAGTGTTCACTGGATCTGCTCCAGAGTAGGTGCTCTCTGCTCTGTATGGGAATGTCTCTTTGTGTCTCACTTTGGTCTGGATGGAATGACCTTCTAGTTGTACCTACCTTTGGTCTGAGTCTGTGATCACCAAGTGACTTTCTGATTATTAATTTTATCTCACCTTTCTCTATTAGGAATAGAATATACTGGGAAAATGATGTGATAATCTGTTTGTGATGTGATTTTTATACATCAATCTCTTCAGAGATGAATGATTGAGCCTATACTTGACATAGGGATTAGCTAGTATTTGTGCAAAACTGAGTTCTTTTTTTTTCTTCATTTTTCTTTTATTATTCATATGTGCATACAAGGCTTGGTTCATTTCTCCCCCCAAAACTGAGTTCTTGAACCTATAAAATTAAGTATAAGATTCTAGACTGGGGTGACTGCAGTATGATAAAACCTTGGGACTCTGTCTAAGCAGTCAACCAATTTTCTAATGGGTCTTCTTTATTTTGCCCTCAAACCACAATTGAAAATTCTGTTTCCCACATAATTATAACTTCAACAACTTCCTAAAGATCTACTGCTTTTATATTATATTCCTAAAATCTTCCTACTACCAAGCAATCCTGCTGGAATGAGGCCTGACAAGTTGTATGAATCTATCTCTGGACCCAACTTGTGACCAGAAAGCAGTTCTGGGCCAGAAGAAAGAAGACAAGAGCTGGAGTCAGGGAGTGGCTGGCTCTGCCACTCGCTACCTCTGTGATTTTGAATGAGTTAATCTCTTGGAACCTTGATTCCCTAAACTGTAAAATAGGGATAATAACTATGCATTCTTTATGTGATTGTTATGAGACTAAATTTTAAAATACATGTGAGAAATGAGCACTGTGGTATAAAGAACGCATTCAAGGACTGGGTGCCGGTGGCTCACTCCTGTAATGCTAGCTACTCAGGAGACAGAGATGAGGAGGATTACAGTTTGAAACCAGACGGGGCAAATATTTCTGTGAGACCCTATATCAAAAAAATCCCATCACACACAATAAAAAAAAAGGCTGGTGGAGTGGCGGCTCTTACTATTTTATAATCTACGTGACACATGTCATTTTAGGACGTACCTGGTAGATAAGGTTGTTCTGAATGTCAGTTCTAATAAGGGCCATTACTTTCTGCTTTTCCCATAGCCAATAGACCAGATGTGACTCTGGAGGTGATGTCTGAGTCAGTAGGTATTTGGAGTCTGGAGAAAAAGACATGCTGATAAATTTCTGAACTTGGAAGTCAAAATTACTCAGGACTTTGCGCTTCCGGCAAGGGATGGATGACAGTTCGTAAATGGTGATGATGGGTTTCTCTTGCACAGTCTCGGAGATAGCGAGGTATCGACGATTAGGACTGATGGACAAGGCCAGCATGCCCTGACTCTTGTCTGAGCCTACAAATGGAGATAAAAAGGGATAATGAAGCAGCTCATGTTTTCACCAAAATTCAGCCAGATGTAGTAGTGCGTACCTCTTGACACAAAGGAGAAAGATGCATGAACATGCAATGATCAGTTCCTGGCCATTCTTGGTTCAACTATAGCTGGGTATTATGAAAATGACTAGGATGGGTACCTTGTTGGGGTAAGGTGGGAGAATCAGAAACATTTCCTGAAGCAGGATAAGGTGGGAACATATGGGAGGAGGAGCATGAGAAAGGGCATAGATGGTGGGAGAATTTTAACAGTGGGCATGATGGCTGAAGCACTGCATGTGAGTCAGGGGTGACCAAAGATGGGTCTAGAAGGAGTGACCAAAATACAGTCCAATTATAGAGGCTTTCACGTCTCAAGTAGCCACCCCTCTTCCTCTACTCCACATCCAACATTCCTCCTCTACTCCACAGGCTGGGATGCTAGTTAATAGATTCCTCAACATCTTTTATAATTAGGTGGTCTGTGTCATTCTGGCTATGAAGTGGATGCAGAAGTCTGCTGGAGTGGCTTTATGATAAAATTCTGTGCTTTCTTGAAAGCACATGCATTTTGTCCCCTTTTTTTCCTGGAATACAGAAGTGATATCTAGAGATTCAGCAGGCATCATACAACTATGACAATAAGCAGGAAATGAAAGCTGTGGTCCTCTAGAAAGCAGAGGACCCAGAAATGCAATAGGGACATATTATGGTTTTCATGGGCCATAGGCACTTTTGCTTTCATAGGTCCCTTCCTCTATTAAAAATATTCTTTTACTAAACTCGCCCAAAATGAATGAACCAATAAAGAAATGGGCAAGTGAACTAAATAGAACTTTCTCAAAAGAAGAAATTCAAATGGCCAAAAAACATGAAAAAATGCTCACCATCTCTAGCCATTAAGGAAATGCAAATCAAAACCACACTAAGATTCCATCTCACCCCTGTTAGAATGGCCATCATTAGAAACACCACCAACAACAGGTGTTGGGGAGAATGTGGGGAAAAAGGAACCCTCTTTACACTGTTGGTGGGAATGTAAACTAGTACAACCACTCTGGGAAAAAAATTGGAGGCTTCTTAAAAATCTAAACATTGATCTACCATATCATCCAGCAATACCACTCTTAGGGATATACCCAAAGGAATGTGACATAGGTTACTCCAAACGCACTTGCACACCCATGTTTATTGCAGCACTATTCACAATAGCCAAGTTATGGAAACAGCAAGATGCCCCACTATCGATGAATGGATTAGGAAAATGTGGCATTTATACACAATGGAATACTATTCAGCCACGAAGAAGAATGAAATCTTATCATTTGCAGCTAAATGGATGGAACTGGAGAACATCACTGAGCGAGGTTAGCCAGGCCCAGAAGACCAAAAATCATATGTTCTCCCTCATATGCGGACTTTAGATCAAGGGCAAACACAACAAGGGGACTGGACTTTGATACCTGATAAGACAAGAGCACACAAGGGAGGTATGAGGATAGGCAAGAAACCCCTCCCCGCAAAAAAAAAAAAAAAAACCCCAACAAGATAGCATTTGATGTCCGCAATGCAAAAGAACTAATGAAGAAACTTTAAAGTGACAGAGGCCAATAGGAGAAGGGGACCAGGAACTAGAGAAAAGGTTAGTTTGAGAAGAATTAACTTAGAATGTAACACACATGTACAGGAAATCAATGCGAGTCAACTCCCTGTATAGCTATCCTTATCTCAACTAGCAAAAACCCTTGTTCCTTCCTATTATTGTTTATACTCTCTCTTCAACAAAATTAGAGATAAGGGCAAAATAGTTTCTGTCTGGTAGCGAGGGGGTAGGGAGGGAGAGGGAGGGGGTGAGAGAAAGGGAGGGGGCAGGGGGACAGGGGGAGAAATGACCCAAACATTGTATGCACGTATGAATAAAAGAAATAAAAAAATAAAAAATATTCTTTAAAAAATATATGCAGTCATATATTTAATGACTGCATTGATATATAAGGGTAGTACAATCCAGGTTGGATTCACTATTATATATAACATTCACTATTGTTATATTAATTTTTTTCTGATTTCAACACAGAATTAAAACATTTTCATCTGCCACCAGAAGTATTATGGACCCTAGGTGCTGTGCATGGTGGATAAGTCATCGATAGATGAGGGTCCCAGGCAGGGAGGGTGAGTGAGTTAGGGGAAGATGTGCTAGAAGGTGATATGTGCGGCCCTGTGTGAGGGACTCCAGGCTGCTGCTTCATAGCAAGCCAAGGAAGGATGGGCAAGATGCCCAACAGCACATCCACCCAGCACACAGGATTCCTCTGGAAGGTCTGCAGAAAAAATTGTGCCTGAGAAGAACCAGGCTCTGGGGCACTACAGTCCTTGCACAAGAGTTTGGACTTCACCTGGGGGGCAGTGGAAGGGCCAGATGTGTGTTGTAGGAAGAACTCTCTGGCAGCTATATGGAAGGCAGTCCTGAACAAGGAGTGGGTACTGAACAGCAGTATTTGAAGAAGCAGAGGTGACTGTAGCAATGAGCTACAGAAGGTAGTGGGGACAACTAGAATGGAGAGGAGGGGAGATAAGAGAAATGCTAAGAGGTAGAACCAGTAAGACTCAGTGATTCCCTGGGTGAGGGGGTGAGGGAGAGAAAAGAGCATGAAAGGTGTTAAGTTTTTTGGTTCTGGCACCTGAGAGGAGTGGGCTGAGCAGTCAGGGATGATGGTGAAAATCATAACCATTGACTTTTGCTTAAAATGACTCATCTGAATATCTGATATTTACTTATGTGTATTTCCTTCTGGTTTACTATAGTTTGACTGACTTACAATTAAGTTTTTAATCCAGTTTGGGTCCATGATGGTAAAGATATGAAGTGAGAATCTAAATAATTGGTTTCCATTTCTCAAATACATAAGCAGTTGCCCCATACTACACCTTTATGATATATTAAGGTTACGTATTTACATGTGTATTTACTGAGTTTCTGGGATATTTATGCTAGGGTCACATTGTTTTTGTATCATGTCTTTATCATGTGCTTGAGTATCTGTCAAGGTAGAGTCTTAAGGGACGAATGGGAGGAAAAAGGAAATAATAAAATTGGTTTTGGATATATTGTGTGAGGCCTAGTATGTGGGATGTTTGGGTAAAGAAGTCTAGGGTTGGATATGATCCTAAGGCTAGGAGTGAGGTTGGACCTGAAAACATGGATTTGAAGGAAAAGGCTGGGAATGCAAACTTGCCTAAAGAAGGTAAAGGAAAATAATGGGTTAAGGTGATATCCTTCTATGCTTTCTGCTAGGCTCACATGGGGCACAACATTTGTCCTACTCACTTACATAGTCCTGTACATTGAATACTCTTGTCTCTACTATAATGCTGAGAGCTCCTGGACGGCAGGCACCATGACTTTCTTGCTCAATTATTCATTCAATCACCATTGCCTGATACCTAATAAAGCCACATGTTATATAAAGATGGAACTTCTAAGAAATGTCTCCTTAGGTAAGTTGTGTGAATATTGTACAGAGTACTTACACAAATTAAGATGGCTACAACATCGTAGACAATGTAATCTTATGGGACCACTGTTACATATACATTCATTGACCAAGATATCATATGGTGCATAATTGTACATGTCAACTGATTTTAGAGTTTGTCAAATGCTATCCCATAGTTTTTAGCCCGGTTGATGACTCTCTTGACCCTGACACACTCAGCATCCTAGTAGTGTTCTGGCCTTTGCTCTTCTCTCTGCTCCCATCCCCATTCCTCCCAGGCCAGGTCATTTACTTCCTTCACTTGCTGTCAAAGGTCACTTATTCAATGAGTCCTCTTCAGCCACCTTGTCCATCATATCACATTTCCTCAACAGATTCCCTTACCATGCTCCATTTCCTTCTCATTAGCATCTGTTACTATCTAACAAATACGTTGTACTTCTATTTATTCTGTTTATTGCCATACTCCCCTGTGGAATGGAACCACCACGAGAACAAGTGTTTGTGTGTGTGTGTAATTTTGTGCCTAGCACAAGAAGTATTTAATAAACTTTTGTTGACTGAACAAATGGATAAGTTTGATCTCCATTTTAGAGGCTCTGTGAGCTTATAAAATGAAAAGCCAGATCAAATTCAGATCTCCCAAGTTCATGAACTTTATATTTTTCATTTCACTACTAATGGTCTGATACTTGGCCACCATGGATCCTTCCCTGAGTCCTTAGAAGGGTTCTCCTCTGGCTGCACCACTTAACAGGATATGGAATCTAGTGGTCACCTGGAGTTTGCATTGTCTCTTCTAAATTATGTTCAAGGTACCCAGGACCCTGGAATTCTCTGTCCAAATGATCCTAAGTTGGCTGACAGGACCAGCACTGGCATCTTCCCTAGGTTTATCTCTACTCTTAGCCTGGTCTTGAAGGATTTCCAAAGGGTAGTTGTTCACAAGATGTGTGGACAGCACTTGAACTGCTGGGAAATTCATATGCATTTGACTTAAGATGGAGCTTGAAGAAGAGAAGTGGTGCAGGTAGGGAGTGTGATAATATGAGCAGAATAACTAAGCTTAAAATCTCAGGGGATACATTGAGCAGTTGGTTAGGTGCCACTGGAAAAAGAATTAATGAAACCAAGAGAAAAAATTCTAAAGAAACCATCTAGAATGTAACACAGAGAGACTAAGAAATGGAAAATCCAATTAAGAGTTAAAAAATATGGAAGATGAAGTTGAGATGGTCTGGCGCTATAGAAAGAGATAATGAAAAAGATACTATATCTGAAGTGACAATTGTTAAAAGTTTTCTAGAACTGTTGCAATCTATTTCTAGAATCTATGCCTTAGATTGAGGAATCCCTAGAAAAATGAAAATAAAACATACGCACATATATATAGACAAAGAGTGAGAGAGGAAGAAGAAAGAGGAGGAGCAGGAAGAAGAAGAAAAGAAGGAGGAGAAGGAGAAGGAAAAGAACTTAAAAGTATTCAGAAAAGAAGATTAACCCTCTACAGAAAGAAGACCTGAATGGCAAATTTCTTAATCACCACTACAAAATAGAAGCCAAAACAAACAAGCAAAAACAATGAAATAAGACCTATAAACAAAAATTCCATACCTGGTCAAGTATCTTTCATAAGTAAGGATGAAATAAGACATTTACAGACAAACAAAAACTGATAGGATTTAATACTATACACTGTTACTAAATACAGAAGGAAAATGATCCCAGTTGGACTACCTGATTTGTAAAGAAGAATGGTGGTACAGCCTGGTAAATATGAGAACAAATATAAATCAATGTTTTTTGTATAAAATGATTATTGATTTAATATAGAAAACCATATGTAAAGTATTATACAAAATTCAGAAAATGTATACAATAAAATTCAGTATCTGTTCATTGGGAGCAAAAACATAGTAAATTAGAAAAATAAAGGAATTTCTTTAACCTGATAAAGGACATAGATGACTATAAACATCAAATTTTTTTTTTGGTGGTACTGGGGTTTGAACCAAGGGTCTTGCCTGATTAGGTCGGTGCTTTAACACTTGAGACATACTCCCAGCCCTTTTTGCTTTAGGTTTCTTTTTTTTTTTGCTTTAAGTAGTTTTCAAAGAGGTGCTTGCATTTATATCTGAGCTGACCTGGACTATGTGATCCTCTTATTTATGCTTTTTTGTGAAGATGGAAAACAGGCATGCACCACAGGGCCCAGTCTTTTTATTGGTGGAGATGGGTCCTTGGGAACTTTTTGGCTGTAGATTCCAATTCTCCTTATCTCTGCCTTCCTAGTAGTTAGGATCACACACACACACACACACACACACACACACACACACACACACACACACACACACACACACACACACAATTTTGAAACATTGTAGTTATGAGTTGGAACACTACATTGCAATAAAATGAACTCCGTTATAAGTGTCAAGATGCTATCTTGAGTGTTTGGGTGTATATATCTTCATTTCCTAGTAATTCCTTAACTATCACATATAGTGATATACATTCTCTTACATGTACATGTTACAATAAAAAGTATTCAATGCAAGAAAGAGTGGGGGAAATGTGAATAGGTTGAAGTGTTATATCATTGGTAGAACCAATGTGAACTAAAACAAATGTAATGTTATACAAATGGATGTTGTGACTTAGGATAAACTTTTCAGTGTCTTCATCATACAAGGATTCAAAAGGTGCTGTAATGAAGGTGATATACTCTGGAAACGGTTGGACAACTCAAAAAGGGGCTGTGGTGATGACCAAACAAAAGACAGAGAAGATACATGAAAAGAAATTACTCAAAATAGATCCATGAAGTTCAGTGAAAACAGTAGTATTAAATTAACATTGTTTGAAATGTGATTTTAACTTACATGTGTCTGATCGCTATAATTAAATAGTGCAAGTTGACATTTATTTCGCCTGCATTTTAAAAGTATATGTATATTCCAGTTGGAAAAATACTTTTTCAATCGTTGTGTTGAGATTATGTCTATGTGGCACATGTCGCTAATGTATGTGTCAGAATGGAAAGCATTTTACCTGGAATGAATTTTTGCCATTTCTGATCCACATTGTACTTCACACAGTGATTTCCTGAAGGAAATATAATGACTTGTTCATCGAAGAAGAAGATATTGTTGGCCACGTGGGAACAAAACCCAAAAACATGCAGCGACTGAGCTACCACGGTCGACATGGTCCCTTGTCAGAGTTCTGCTAAAGACGGAGCGCTGCAGGCGAGAGTGGAGAAGCGCATTGCCCCGCCCCTCCCCGCCCCGCCCCTCCCGCCTCAGGACACGCCCCCGCCCCGCCCCCAGGCTCTCCCTCCTCTCTCCCCCCCCCCCACCCCCTGTGTCTCTGTCTTTCACTTTGTTTCCTCGCGCTCCCAGCAACTTCCCAGGACCTCAGAGACCCTCTCCCACCTTTCGTTCTTCGCTCTGGGTCAGCAGTCCATGCACCTATCCGGAAGTGCGCTCCTACGGATCCCGAGCAACCCCTGCACTTCCAAACGCCAGAGTGGTTCCTATAGCAACGACAAACCGGAAGCGTGGCTCCGCGGCCGGAAGCGGAAGTCCCTTTCCGAGAGTGGAGCAGGAACCTTGGGTTGCTGGTGGTGGTGGTGCACGTGGAGGAGCGGCTTGCGAGTGGGTGCTGAGAACAGCAGCTGCGTTGAGGGCCTCCCTCTGCCACCCACGTAGACCTCGGTGACCCCGCTTCTTCCTGTGGACGTGGGGCGGGCCTGCGTGCTGCGTTATGGACACCCCCCCGCTGTCAGGATCGGACTCAGATTCTGAGGATTCCCTAGTCACAGACAGAGAAGTAGGTGTCGGCGGAGCTCGCGGGGCAGGGCGAGGGAGGGGGTTTTAATTCCTCTGGCACTCACCGCGCCTGTGACGTGCAGTTGCAGGATGCATTTTCCCGTGGACTCCTGAAGCCAGGCCTCAATGTCGTACTAGAGGGGCGGAAGAAGGCCGTGAACGACGTGGTGAGCTCGGGGCCTTGGATAGGGGGGACCCGGAGATGGGATGCGCACAGGCAGCAGTTGTGCTTGCGAGACTGATTCTTGTCCCGGGAAAGACACACCCTGCACGATTCCCAGAGGATCGATTACTTGTGTGGGTTTCTTGGGATTAGCGCTTTCTCTTGTTGATTTAGCACCTTGGGCTTGGAGAGACAAACTTCGGGTTCTTTTCTTAGGAGCTCAGTGTCTGACTTTCCTAGAGTGGCCTGAAGCAGTGTTTGGCTGAATTCAAGCGGGATCTAGAATGGGTTGAAAGGCTTGATGTGACCCTGGGTCCAGTGCCGGAAATCAGTGAACCTCAACCAACACCTCAGAACAAGGACCAGAAGAAACCTGTTAACCCAGAAGACGATTTCCTGAGGGAGATGAGTTTGTATGTTTGTTTCCAAATGTGGGGGAAGTTGGGGGTCCTTGTGCTAGAGATGGGGAAAAGAGAAAGCAGTGAATTTTCACCCCCAGAAATATGAGGGAGTTAGAGTAAGCCTGGGAGTGGGCTGGAAGAGCTAGGAGATTCTGACTGTTTAGAAAAGAGCTCCAGTATTCAAAGTTCTGTTTGTGGACTGTTTTTGAAATAATTCACTTTTAAAGTTTTTGTGTGTGTGCATTCAGTTATTAAAACACACTGCGTGGGGAAGGTTCTGAGCAGACTTTCTTTAGTGATTAAATGGCATTAGTTTATGTGTTAATGGGTACCTTTAAAGTGCTCATCCTTTTAAACTACTAATTTACTTTTAACAACTTTCTCCCTTTTAAAAAATGATGTACAATGAAATTTCTGTCTACCAGGTTAGTGAGGGTTTCTTTACAGGTTTTGTTTACTTGTTCATTTGTTCTTGCTTTGCTAAGGAAGGTCAGATGTTGATAGTCATTTTGAGATTGGATAACTATGAGAGGCAGCAAGGAGGATTGAAGGCCTTTCTCTTCATTTCACATTTTACTTTTTTATTTATTGGTATAACTGAGGTTTGAACCAGAGCCTCACAGTTACAAAGCAGGCGCTGTATTGCTTGAGCCATACCTCCAGCCCATTTTGCTCTGGTTATTTTGGAGATGGAGGATGGTGTGTGTGGGGGGGTCTCACGAACTATTTCCTAGGGCTGGCCTCGAACCTCGATCTTCCTGATCTCAGCCTCCCAAGTAGCTAGGATTACAGGTGTGAGCCACCGACCGGCAGCCTCATTTCATATTTTGTCCTGCAATTTCAGCTATCGCCAGGCCCAGGCTGCAGTGCTTGCAGTATTACCCCGGCTCCATCAGCTCCAAGTCCCTACCAAGCGGCCCACTGATTATTTTGCAGAAATGGCGAAGTCTGATCAGCAGATGCAAAAGGTGAGAAATAAGGAAATTCCCTTCTGGAAAGCAAGACTTTGTACCGAAGTATATTCAGCTGGCTCATCTCCTATAATGTTTGAAAAAAATATGTATAACTCCAGTAAAAATGGGGAGCTGTTGGAGGAGTGGCTCAAGTGGTAGAATGTCTGCCTAGCATGCCTGAGGACCTGAGTTCAAACCTCAGGCATGCTAGTGTATTTTGAAAAATGGGGAGCTGGTTGTCAGAGACATTTCTCCCAGAGATTCTCTACTTCTGAGGCATGTCATTCACTACCAATTAGGTAAATATAAGGATGACATTTCCTAATTTAAATATGTAAGAGAGAAGAAGTGTAGTTCCTAAAGTAAAAATGGCTTTTGCATTTTCTTGCTGGCGTGATAGTAGCGTGGTGTGTAGAGAAGACACTTGTTCTGGTCCTGGTGTTGCCAGTGAGCAGTGCACTTGTAGACAGTTTTTTTCCTCTGGGCCTCAGTTTTCTATAAAATGAATATTAATATATGGTTCACATACAGTGTAATTTAGAGGTAGGTAGAACTTGTTCCTCATTTAACTTTGGAGGAAAGAGAATTCAAGACATCAAATCCAGGACGTATTTAAATAGTTCCTTTTGGTATTAAACTAGATATTGGGGGAACTCTTGATTATACCCAGAGAAGGTAATTTAGAGATCAGCCCAGACATCTCTGTACATTCAAAATGATAGTTTCTTACACTTTCACTGAAATGTGTATGTCTGATGGAGAGACTAGGTATTGAATATCTGTGGGAGTTTTTACTACATAGGTAGCTTGTTAAGAGAAGGGCACTGAAGTCAAATGTGCCTAATCTCAGTCTACAGACAGAGGTGGGGAGTGATGGGTCTTCTTTCCTGGACCACATGTAAGTGGTTTTGTACAGTGGCACAAACAGGACACTGGGATTGGAAATGATGTTTTTAAGCTCTGGCTTTACCACTGACACTTTTGATACCTTGGCCAGAGTGCTCAGCCTTTGGGCTTCATTGTCTTAAGTATAAAACGAGAGTAGTGTTTTACAAGTTCCAGAGTATGCAGAACTTCGACTACCTGATCCTTGTTCAGTGCCCTCTAAGTAGTGACTGACAACATTTTGCATTCTAGATTCGTCAGAAACTGCAGACTAAGCAGGCTGCCATGGAGAGGTCTGAAAAGGCTAAGCAATTGCGAGCGCTTAGGAAATATGGAAAGAAGGTAAGGAAGAAAATGTTTAGGGAATAGGACAAGGCTGGCAATGTCTGTTAGGTTATATCCGTGGTCTGATTTGGTTCCATGCCCTGTGTGTATTTGATCATGTGCTTATCTCACTGTGGAGTGTATCTGCTGCTGTCCATGAGCACAGTCTCACTTGACACTGTGCGGCACCAGGAGTAGTGTGGTAGCAACAGGTGAGCCAACATCTCTCTAAGTTTTAGTTTTAACATTTGCACAGTGAAGAGATAGGTCCATATCAGTGGTTTCCAAGCCTGATTTCTCAGCAAAATCACCAGTGGAAAATTTCAAAACATTTTAGGCTTCAGGATCCCTGGGAATCTGTATGTTCTCCCTCATCCCCAAAAGTTTCCCAGGTGCTTCTCATAGGCATTCTGGATGGGTTGCACTGTTCTAGATGATCATCAAATCCTTACAGGGATCATACTTCAGTCTGAAAAAAAAAAAAAATGATATCCATGTGTTTGTGAATGTATGAGTTCTCATGTAAACCAGATCAGACATACCATGAAGATTTTCTTGGATTTCCCTTTTTACTGCATTGTCACCAAAAAAGAAGGTGACAGGAATTATAGTTAAGAGTGTGCGAGGGAATGAGGGTGAGGAGGATCTGCCTGGGTGTTAAGGCTTCATAAGCATTTTGGACATAACACTTATGATTTGGGGTGTTTAGCTGTTGTTCTCATTTAGGGTCATCTCGCTGATAAATCCTAATGTCTTATCTTCTATAAAAAGTTTGCTGTGAATTGTTTTTCTGATCTGGAGATGGGTGGCTGGCATCATCTCAAAGACACTGGCAATAAATTGGATATAACCTGATTTACCAAAAGCAAAGGAAAAGTTAATTGGGCCTGTTAACTTGCTGTTTTTGAGGAAACCTTAGGGCAGTGGTTCTCAATTTGGGATGTTCTGCCAGAGAACATTTGTCACTGTCTGGAGACATTTTTCAGTTGTCACATCTTGGGGCAGAGGTTCTACTGGCTCTAGTGGGTAGAAGGCAGGGACATTGCTAAACATTCTGCAATGCACAGGACTGGTCCTGTTCCTTTATAAAGAAATTTCCTGTCCAGAATGTTAGTAGCATTGAGATTGAAAAACCCTGCCTTGGGATATTATCTCCTTTTGTCTTTAAAGCTTTTTTTTATCTGTTCTGGTTCTGGAAGATGGAGTTTTCTCTTTGGGAATTTTTATGCCTAGTGAACAGTGGATTAGATATTTAATCTACCCAGATATAATTAATAGGAATTACTGAATGTGGACCTAAATATGGTTTGTTTCAGTTTTGTAGGCAAGATTGTATGTGGGGTAAAGGTGCAGACTTTGGAGTCAGTCTGGGTATAAATCTCAGCTCTGAGCTTTCTTGCTACATGACCTGGTACATATGTAATTTCTGGGCTGCAGTTTAGAAGGTATTAAGAATTTGAGCTGGTGCTTATGCCTATAATCCTAGCTACTCAGGAGGCAGAGATTAGGAGGATCATGGTTCGAAGCCAGCCCAGGCAAATAGTTTGCAAGACCCTGTCTCAAAAAAGTCCACACAAACACAAAACACACAAACACAAAAAAGGGCCTGGTGGAGTGGCTCAAGGCATAGTCCCTGAGTTCAAACCCTTGTACTGCAAAAAGAAAAGAATTTGAACTGCAACTTCACTGAATTGTGAAGATGAACTGAAAATAGACTTAGAGCCTAGAGCCCTTAGCATAGTTTTTGCCAATGCATGTAAGTGTTAAAATAGTAATAGTACTGATCACTGTGGGTGTGGGTGTGGTTGTGTGTTTATCAGTTATTGAGAGAATGTGCATGCTTGGAGTAGTCGTTTGGACTGGGTATAACTGTTCTTGTTTCCATGTCACAGGTACAAACACAGGTTCTTCAGAAGAGGCAGCAGGAGAAAGCACATATGATGAATGCCATCAAAAAATATCAGAAAGGTCAGGATATCTCTCTGCTAAGGATGTAGGGTAATAAGGATCCCAGGTACCTTAGAGTTAATCTGAACTCATGGTGCTTTGGAGTCTTCTCGTTTGATTTGGTACTATTGGTCGTAAGTTTTGGGAATGGTGTGGGTAGCAAGATGTACTTCCAAAAGTCAATTTAGTGCATAGCAGCTACATTTTGAGGTTTTAACTTCTCTGGAAATACAGTGTTGTTGATTGAAGTACTTTTCACTTACAGGCTTCTCTGATAAACTGGATTTCCTTGAGGGAGATCAGAAACCTGTCACACAGGGTACAAAGGCAGGAACCAAAGGCCAGCAGATGAAGAAGGGGTAACAAGTGTTTTGGTTTGGTTTTGTTCTGGGATGTGTAATTGGCCAACAGTTCATGAGTATGGTGGGGGATCTCCCTAGGAGCAGCCTCTGGGTGGAGGGTATGCTGCTGGAAAAGACTTACAGTGCCATGGAATGGACCTCTTTGCCATATCATTCTTCAAAAATGAAGACTTTGAATGCATGCAAGTCACTGTGACTCTCACTGTGACTCCCTGTCTCACAGTGTGATGGATCAGAGTAAAGATCTAGGATTCAGATCAGATTCTGCCATTCAGTAGGAGAGTAACCTTGAGCAAGTCCCTTGTTAAGAGGCAGTAGTTCAAGCCTCTTAGTACTACAAAGATTAAAAGGGAGAATTTTGGCTGTTATTATTTTTTAGTCCTACTTTCTGCTTACCTGGATACCAGGTGATTTAGCAAGATAGTTAAAATATAAAGCTTTCCTAAGATAGGAGAAAGTCACATGATATATGTAGATTCTTTCCTGCTTTTTCTTTCCTTTTCTGGGGATTAAAATCATAAATAGATGAGCTTGCCTGGGTAGTTTGTAGAGTAAAAATGTAGGGCCAAGGATGGAATTCTGGTGACAGTATTGCCTTTGGGGCTTTATAGGAAGGAATCTGGGAGTACTGATGGGCCATAGGCTCATAAGGACTTAATGCTGGCAGTAATCTGTGGGGCCACCTTTTTCCAGGCCTAGTGCTAAACGACGATATAAAAACCAGAAGTTTGGTTTTGGTGGAAAGAAGAAAGGCACCAAATGGAACACTCGTGAAAGTTATGATGATGTATCCAGCTTCCGGGCCAAGGTAGCTCATGGCAAGGCATCAGGAGGCCTGGGAAGAAAGGATCGAATGTAAGTGAGCCAAGGCCTAGTTCAGGGCAGGGTCAGCCCCTTCTCACCCCATACTCCCTCTTCTCTTCTTTGTGCTTTTTCACCCTGGGCAGAAGGCCATGAGCTATATGATCAGATGTGGTTCTCTTTTTGTGTAGAAGAGACCTGGAAACGAACAAGAGAGAAAATGAAGAGCAAAACCCGCTAAACAGCAACTTTTATACAAAGAACCAAGAAAAAGGGATGAAGACACGGAATTTCACAGTACACTTGGATCCTTTCTGTTGGTTTCTTCTTGTAGAAATATTTGTAATAAATTAAAGAAAAATTATGAAAGACACATGCTCTTGGATAAAACTCAGGACTGAAAGATTTAGAAGTTTGCATATAAATATTGCTATTTATTGATAGTAATTTAGACTTTGAGTCCAAATTGCCTTCCTTTTATGATAGCTGAAGATTTAACCTCTACTTCTCACTTCCTTTTCCTCATGTTTCCAAATTGTTACACCAGAGGCAATCCCTGTAAAGGAAGTGTATTGTGATCATGTTTCTTTTGTGGTACAGCTGATGGGTTTTCCTTTAGTACATCGTATATTCTTCTGCTAGTTTTTTTCCAGATCCTTGGTGATTTTATCTGCCTTACAATTTTTCTGTTATTGCTCAGGTCTGCCATATAACTGTCACTTAGGTTGGCTACATTATTTCCTGGATTCCATGTATTCCTTTCTTACTTTTTGCCTTCTTTTATTGTACACCATTTTCTAGTATTTTCCTAGAAAGGGCATATGAAAAATGGACTTTGTATCTCCCTACATTTCTAAAGTTGCCTTTAGTTTGACTGGTGTGAATTTTCCCCTTAAAATGCTAGAGGTCCTGCTTCCTTGTCCTATTGCTTCTTCTGTTTCCATTAAGGAAGCAGGTATCTCATTTCATTCTTTTCTCTAGAAGCCTGTCTTCTTCCTGATGATCTGAACTATGACATACTTGGCGTGGACCTGTGTTCTTTGTTTGATTTGGGTGGTTAGAAAGATTCAGACTTTTCTTATTGTTGGAAATTCTACTGGATAACTTCTTCTCCCTGCCATTTTCTTTGTTCTGATTCTGGAATTTTTTTTGTTAGACAAATATTGAAACTCTTCTGATAACTTCTAGATTTACATTTTGGGTCTATGCTTAGAGAAAGATCACTTTGGTTCTTTTTTCTAATCATTTTGTTGAATATTTTAGTTTTCATTTCACTTATCTGCAAGAGTTCTTTGTTGTCTCCTTGGTCTTTTTCATATCATTTTATTCTTCTATAGTTTGCAGTATCTTAACATGTCTCTGAGGATATGAATTAGTTTTTAGTTTTTGAAAAAATTTTTCTGTTCTCTTCATTCTGTTTCCTCTGCTGCCCTCTGACCCCTACATTTTGCTTTCCCTCTTTCTTTTTTTCAAATTAGTTATTATGGGTACAGTTTGAAACTTGATACCTGGGTACACTGTATTGATCAAATTATAGCAATTAATGTTTCTATCTCCCTATCATCACTTTGTGTTTGTCGCCTTTGAGCTACTCCTAGTTATTCCTGAAATATATACTAGGTCATTCGGAATGACAGTTGCCCTACTGCTGTAGAAATGAGAACTTATTCTGTCTAACTGTGTTTTGGAACTCCTTATCCAACTCTGTCTTTCCCTCTTTTCCAGCCTCTAGTGATCACTGTTTTACATTTAGCATTCAGATTTGACTTTATTTTAGCATGCAATATAAAAGAGAACATGTAGTATCTTCTTTTTTCAAGTTGAGCAGTACCTTATTGTAGAAGTCAAAAGCTTGGATTCTGAGTCCTGCTTTGCATCTTAATTGCTCTGTGATCTTTGGCATATGAAGTTTTCTATGTTTTGTCACCTCTATGACAAAATGTAGATATGGTAGTTACCTCTTTGGTTTGTGTCTGATTGAGTTAACAAGTGTAAAACCTTTAGAACATTGCTTACCACAGGATTAAGCAATTATTACATACCCAGTACTTTTCTCATAGTCCCTTGCTTAGGATTACTTTGCTGGGTAGTGTTTTGTTTTTGCTATGCCAAAACACCTAACTCTGGGTACTTGATAAGGAAAAGAAGTTTATTTAGCCTACAATTTTGAAGTTGAAAGTGCAAGGTCTGAGATTGGGTGACATTCCATCTGTTTGTCTCTAATGAGGGCATCATGACTGATGGTATCACAGTGTTGGGACTGTGCAGACAGGAAGCCAGAGAGATTCAGCATTCAGGGCTTGCTCTTTTTTGTAAGAACTACGAGACAGCATTAATCACTCTAGGGGAAGTCCCTTTGCACTAAGTCTACTCTTACAGGGTTTACCATCTCTTAATATCACTACATAGGGACAAGCCTCCAGTAAAGAACCTGTAGGGGACAAACCACATCCAAATGATAGTGGGTGACTTTCCTTTGGATGAACCTTGATTCTGTATATTTGAGAGGTACTAAATTGCTAACTGCAGCTATGCAGAGATGGTATGTTGGTAGGCAGGCCACTTTAGGTGTTGATAGGGTTTAAGCCAGTTTACCTACCCTCCTCCTATTCCAATTCAGAAATTATTCTTTATTTAAATGGTGCTGGGGATGGAACCCAGGGCCTTGCACATGCTAGGCAAATGGCATTTTTAAGGAAGCTAAAAATAGGTAAGTGCTGTATCTCATAAGTAAAAAAAACTGTTTTTTTGTGTTTGTTATAGCAACACTGGTACAAAGAACGTTTCTGGTTTCATATGATAGTTTCCAGAGCCAAACGAGCTTAGTTTTTTTATAAACTTAATTTCAGCTAACGAAATTCTGATTATATAGATTATGTTTTCAGAAGACCAAAATATTTTTACCTTGACTTATTGACCATTCGAATAAGAAGCCTCAGAAGCAGTTAGAGACTTTGAATTATGTGTTAAGAACATATTAAGAGTTTTAGGAAAGAATGTGGTTTACACTGGTAAGGCCAAATACAAGTTATGAATCCTAAATCCTTTCAAAGGGTTTTGAAAATGATTTTCCTCTCTACCTCCTTCCCTTCTTACTTACTTCCTTTTATTACACAACAAAACTACTATTTTCTGTATAAATAACTCTGTAAAACTCATTTGCATCATTTCTACTGTTCCAGCCCTAAGTGTGATGAGATTGCAGGAGGTTTTATTCCTTCGTGTTGCTTTAAAATACAGCCCTGTGCATTGAAGATAGGTAGAAACCTAGCAATTCCCAAAAACAATACAGGCGTTTCTTACTGTGCACAATTCCAGTATGCACAAATTGCAGTTAGTAAGATATAGTTAATGCCAGGCATGATGGTACACAGTGGTAATCCCAGCATTCAGGAGGCTGAGGCAGGAGAATCGTGATTTTAGGGCCGGCCTGGACTATAGTGAGATCCTGTCTCAAAAACAACAAATGTAGTTAAACAACAGCCATTTCTCAGCAGCACTTCACATTTCAGTTACCAAAATGTTACTGTGAGTAGTGGCATAAAGTAGAAATAATCATTGTTAATTCTTCAGTCCACAAATCGCTACATAAATAACATGCATAATGATCAGTGAGTGATCAAGTATCACTTCTTTCAAAGTCCACCTGTGATTGGCTACTGTGTATCTGTTAATTTCAGAAACAGACTCATGGACAGCAAAGTGTGTAGTTGGCTTGCCTCCTGTTTTCACTAATAAACCTACATGCATTTTAAAGTAGATAATTGAAAGAGAACTTGCCAGCAAAGATGAATGTGTAGCACAGAAATGAATTATAAGACTGGAGGTATAATTCAAAGAAAATGCAACTGGGGTTATAGAAGAACTAGCTGATGTGGGAATGTTATTACTCCTGCCATTCTAGAGACTAGAGAAAGTGACAGATCAAGAGAGATGAAGGTGTTCTGGAGGGGTGACACTGGCAACAAAACCCTTTATGTTAAAGAGGCTTTTATAAGTGATGACATTGAAAGCACTAAATGATAAAATGTTGGAAGTGGTGCCAGACTAGAAAGGACTAAGACAATTTGCCAAGGCATAGAAAAGATGCTTGGCTGGGGGTGTAGCTCAGTGGTACAGCATGCTTAGCTTGTGCAGGAGGCTGTGGATCCAATACACAGTGCACACACGAAAAAGATGCTTGTTCCAGATCATAAGTTGTCCAGCAAGAAAAAGGCAGACACTTTTTTTTTTACAAAGATAAATATTTGATCTACAATGTTTGTGTTGTTTTAAATTACAGCCTACCAAATAGCCATTAGTTTTAATACTTTTCATTTCTTATGCATTTAACAATAAGTTTTTAATGCCTTGAGGAAGTTTTTTAAAGGTCATGAACAATTACAGTTTTTTTTCCAGTGATTATTAAGGTCACTTCACATGGTTTTAGAAAGAGCCATTTTTCTGCTCCTGCACTACTGTGCAAAGTGAAGCCTGTATGTTGTTTTTAAGGAAGTATACACAGTTAATAGCTTTTCTTTTTTGCGTTGGAGTTGGGAAAGATGTGAAAACAAGAAATGTAATTGTTGTGTTTAAAAGAGCAGACCTTCAGAAGCACAGTGATCACTTTCACAGCTAACAATCTTGTGATAAATATCAAAGGGCTTAAATCTATTTTATGATTAATATAAAATTATACTCACTCTGCACATCAACTAATGTGCTTTTTATGCTCTCCTTAAATGCTAAATATTCATGATAAATTTCAAGCATAGTTATAATACATTTCCAAATGAAGAATGAATGACAAACAGAAGCTTCCAGAAGAAGTTTGATATAGGTGTTTTAAGTGAAAGTCATTGGACCTCAAATGTATACATGTAAACTAACTCTTCTGGTCAAATCATAAATGATAACTGGTCCATTGTCCTTCATATCACTACCATATTGCTGGTTGAAACTAACCCAGTGTTAGAAATGCTCACACTGTGTTGATCGAATGGTAAACCTGATAACAAAAAAAGGCTTCTTTGAGACTCACGGAAATCAAAACAAGTACACAGAAAATAAGCAAAATGAATACAAAAGGATTTTGCATCTACTGATAGGAAGGTAATTTCAAAGAAATTCATGTAACAGAAATGAAGTTCTTCCTTTCC